ATCGGAAATATATAAGCGCAGTCTTGAATAAACATTACCATCAACTGAGTTCGGCGACAATCCTTAATTAGAAACTGAATAATCGGATCAAATTAAACTCATCGATGTACTCGTGTCAGATGGATGAATTTGACAACGCTGCAATAGTCCTCACTTATTTCTTCTTATATAAAAAAAAAGAAAAAAAAAGAGCCGCTTGACTTGACAACTTCTTGCCTTGGTAAAAATTCCTTTCAAACTCCGAAATTGGTCCCCGAAGGCCAATAATGGATTTTATAGGATGTTAAAAAAACACATTGTATTCGCAAATCAGAATACGTAATAATATCTACATCTACTTATGCCATTAAGAGATAATGCGACGGCATCCGCTTTCCTTATATCTTCATAACTTCGACTTTGTTTTTTAATAACCTATCAGTTTATCTGTGAATTACTCTCACTTAATTATACTATCAAGGTAATATTGATGAGAGAAAGGTAGATATATCGTTTTAAGCGACATTTTGACAAATTAACAGAAGTCTAAATAAGAAGAATAGAAGAATAAATTTTAATAAATTTGAATTAAAAATAGTGTAAGAAAAAATTATTTTATTGTAAAAAAGCGTGAAGTGCACGGTATAAGTAGTTATAAATATTTTATGAACAGATATGAGTAGAAGGGTTATTTTGATAATATATCCTGAAAAGCACCCCACGCTCTTTTTACAATAAAATATTTTTTTCTTACACTATTTTTAATTCAAATTTATTAAAATTTATTTTCTATCTTCTAGTTGGATTTCTATAAAAGCGTATTTTGTTATTTTTTTTAAACTATTATTTATTTTTCATTATTTAGTTGAATTTCAATTTTTTCATTTTGGTTTTTTTGTAAATTTTTTTTTAAATATTGAATAGTCATCAGTCCTTAATAGGTATACCAAATTTCGAGTTAATCCGACGTTTTGAAGAGGGTCAAAATCATGTTCAAAGATTCCGTTATAAACATATATACATACGTCTGAAGCTAATAAAAGCGTATTAAGAACTTGTAATTAACTATTTAAATTGTCACTATGAATCTTTAAGGGTTACCGTTTACCGTCATCGCAAACGTAGGCAATGCCAGAAACACCACTCTCTGTGACTCTTCCGATTATTTTTTCAGGGTTATTTTCTTTTCAAACCACCTTTAAAGAAGTATTCGCTTAACATGGCGCTTGATTTCGAGGCTTCTTAGAATATTTCAACAAGAGTAATGCTTCATGTCTGGCAATACGTTAATAAAAAAATGTAAATAAAAAACGTGAAAACAATTGTCATTAATATCGTTTTAGTATCTCTACCGCTAACGAATAGACTTGAAATTCTAAGATGAACTGCAATAGACATCAGGAAACTATATTACGAAGTTTATGTAGTTACAAGCTCTTTCCTAACCACATTCACTTTCGTTTGGTCGAATAACTTTACTCTGTTTCTTTGTGATGGGATGGGAAAGAGAAAAAAAAAGAAAGACATGGCATTAGCTTGTAATAGGACGCGGGTAGGTATCACCATCCTGTCCATGTCCGTCGCGAAACAGTATTCCGATTTGTAACAATAAGTGGGAACAAATTACGCACGGTCATCTGGACCCCAATTTAGGATTCTCTGTATTATGAATACTAGAGTCTGACATACTTACTTTATATAATTAGTTTAAATATACACATATATAGATAATAGACACCCAGATAAAGTGCAAACAAACCTGTTCATCACACAATGTTTTCCCGATGTAGGAATCGAATCCACGACCCTCGCCACAATAGTGAGGGCCGCTAAATACTGCGTCACCGAGTCAATCAAAAAGATGAGTCTGTCGTTATACAATATGTTAGTTTTTTTTTTCCTACCTAGCTGAGAGCCTTGAGAGGCTATTTCAGCGTAACCTCAACTAGTAGGTGAGTTCACGGGGCTCAAACCTGACGACGTTGCTAACACTGGCCCTAGCAAGAGCCGTGCTTCGCAGAATCTACCACCGGATCGGAAACGCGACCCAATGAGAAGATCCGGCGAAAAACTCAGTGGACTGTGTCTGAAGGTTATATTGAGACTTCAACGCATAATAAAGCGAACAACAAATATCTCATCATTTGGTAGCAACCTTATAATTATCATTTACAAATAATAAAAAACCAAGAAGAGCTCATAGCTTGGTGTCGTTAGACAAAGCACACAGGCAACACCCTGAGTCGTGAGGTCAAATGGTCAAATGTTACTGAACGCCAAACGAAAAATCGAGTCCGAGAAATTAGATTATCCTATTTTGACGACGTATAGTATATTGACATATTGCCGACGGCATTAGAAGCGGGTCGTTCTTTGCGATGGAGTCTTCAATAAGTTTATATGTACGAAATTAAATTCACTTCAGACTCACACCAAAAAATTCAGAGACAAATTACGATCACCTCTGCCGACCCATTAAGAGGGACTATGCCCACCTCATTGCGCATCTTCAGTATTATTCTATGTGAAAACAAAAACGCTTCGAAAATGGTAGTAAGACCTCTTGTGAGTTCGCACGGGAGGTACCACCGCCCTGCCTATTTCTGCCGTGAAGCAGTAACGCGTTTCAGTTTGAAGGGCGGGGCAGCCGTTGTAACTATACTGAGACCTTCGAACTTATATCTCAAGGTGGATGGCGCATATACGTTGTAGATGTCCACGGGCTCTAGTAACCACTTAACACCAGGTGGGCTGTGAACTCGTCCACCCGTCTAAGCAATAACAAAAATAAAAACTTGTGAACTTGATACATCAAGGTATTTGTGGACTAGTTGGCATGATTGCACGATGCGAATTCTGTGTTCGGTTGTAATGACAATTGTTACACTCTTCAGATAAATTTCCAGGACAATAATATGGAGTGATTCACTCACACACATTGTTTTATGATACACAAACGTTCTTTGTTCCCCAATCGTGTTATAAAGTTACAATTTAAAAAATTTGAAAATGAAAATTCCTTTGAATTCTTCTGAACCAATTTAGCACTTTATTTTTTGCTGTCAGCTGCAACTTATCTTAAATATCTATTGGAAATTATATATTTCACTGTCATATTAAACCGTTAAAGACGCAAGTTTGCGCGTTCACTGCGAAGAAGGACCCCTTTGTCATGGCGCCGCAATTCCAAGGAGTATCCCTGCAACCTTCCGAGAGTATTGGGATACTTGGGGTCGACATTTCGAGCGATGTCCAGTTTCGGAGTCATCTGGAAGGCAAAGCCAAGTTGGCGTCCAAAATGCTGGGAGTCCTCAACAGAGCGAAGCGGTACTTCACGCCTGGATAAAGGCTTTTGCTTTATAAAGCACAAGTCCGGCCTCGCGTGGAGTACTGCTCCCATCTCTAGGCCGGGGCTCCCAAATACCAGCTTCTTCCATTTGACTCCATACAGAGGAGGGCCGTTCGGATTGTCAATAATCCCATTCTCACGGATCGTTTGGAACCTCTGGGTCTGCGAAGGGACTTCGGTTCCCTTTGTATTTTATACCGTTTGTTCCATGGGGAGTGCTCTGAGGAATTGTTCGAGATGATACCGGCATCTCGTTTTTACCATCGCACCGCCCGCCACCGGAGTAGAGTTCATCCATACTACCTGGAGCCACTGCGGTCATCCACAGTGCGTTTCCAGAGGTCTCTTTTGCCACGTACCATCCGGCTATGGAATGAGCTCCCCTCCACAGTGTTTCCCGAGCGCTATGACATCTCCTTCTTCAAACGAGGCTTGTGGAGAGTATTAAACGGTAGGCAGCGGCTTGGCTCTGCCCCTGGCATTGCTGACATCCATGGGCGACGGTAACCACTCACCATCAGGTGGGCCGTATGCTCGTCTGCCTACAAGGGCAATAAAAAATAAAAAAAAATATTTAAAAAATATGGAACTTATTTTGTTTTCTATTTTTAAATCTACATTTAATTATAGATTGGTAAAAATAAAATTAATTTTTTTTCAGCAAATGAGCATTTGGTGGTGGTATGTAATAGCGTTAAGTGGTCACCAGAGTTAATGTACATAGCTATGTGAATGCAACTACCAAAACTGAAACACGAAGTCACAAAATTTATTAGGTAACATCTCTCCAACCATTTATGTTGAAATATATGATTGCTTCCCAGTAGAAATTGGCAGGACAGTTTTAAATTTTTAAAAAGTGTCCAATATTTGTCGAATCCTAGAGTTACCATCACGGCACTGAGAGAAAGATATCACTGATACTTAAGACAAAAGGATTTCGATGATATTTAAGCCATTAACACAGTGATCCCATGCGAAAACATAGCTCGTGAGCCACATGTGGCTCCTTGACTCCTTGGCTATGGCTCTTAAACAAAATGTTATGTTTGGTTCTGGAACCTAATATTACTTATTATCTTGCCTTGTAACAGAGGAGTTAGCAGTTTTAAAACACAAGCATTCCAGTTGGAATGCTTGAAATTTTTATATATGATAAAAAATGGCTCTTTGAATAACTTGCAATTATGTTTATCTATATTTGGCTCTTTTGGCAAGGTTGGTTGGTCGGAAGGTTGCTGACCACTGCATTATATGTTTATAATCAGAGTTATAGTTGCCATATTTTAAGATTTGAAATCATTTTCATTAGCGTAGCGTCAATGTCTTAGTTTTGTTTAGTACAAATTAATTTATTTCTGCACATAATGGTGTGATTCTGCAGGTTTTCTTTTTATAACAATATCATGTTAGACATTCACTGTTTAGTTCATTTTTAGCTACTTTGGTGCCACAGATCAAAGCCACAATATAATGACAAAAACATAACACCTATATTTTTTTTCAATTAATTCTCTTTATTCCAGTTTGATAACTTATGTATTGCTGTCAAGCTTATTAGTTATTCAATTGTCACAACAAAATTATTTTAAACAAAACTTCTGAAGCCTTGAAGAAACATGATAATCTTATGGTCCTTCAGTATAAAAAAAAAGAATAAAATTCGACTTACCTTCCAGAGTTCCGCTCAGATCTCACACACTTGAAATGATTGCATTACTTTTACTTTTTATAGTATTTGGTTTTGTGTGTTCGCGTCGAAAACTTAACGCTTATAATGATTACGGATACCAATACAACGATAATAAATATTAGAGGGCCGAAATTATTGCTAAAATATTTTAAATAACTAAGTAAATATAAAATTTGATCTTTATAAGTCGACACTATTTCGTCTACAACAGAACCGAACATTAACTCGTTACCGCAACAAGAATTCATCACAATATACAAAATAACATATTGTAAATTTAGCTAAATATATTGTCCTATTTTTTGTTCATAAAGTTTAATAATTAAGTTAGTTTTGTGTGTAAAATTGACATAAGATTTATTTTATTGTTATCGGCATGTAAACACCTGACAATGACATTAACATTTTTTGAATGTTGACTTTTAATTAGTGTTACTCGCGTAAAAAATATACTAGTTTTTTGTGCAAAATTATATACCTATTGCACAGACAGCCTTACAGAAGTTATAGCGTTTGAGTATAATAATAATTACTTAATTTTCAGATGAAATCTGAAAAAACACATGATTCTAAAGATTTGATATAAACTATCTTCTACATACATACAGTACTGGTCATATAATTATCAATGATTTGAAGTGCCAAACTTATTTAGTTGTGTTTTCTGTCTTAAAACTAACTAGTTGTGTTTTATTTTACAAACAGTTGCATGAATAGAGCAAACAGAATTATGAATATAGAATAAAATCTCTAACTTTTTCGCAAATATTTCTAATTACAAATTCAATTGAAGCTAGACAAATAATTAAGGACGGTTTAATAAACTGCTCTAGAATTGTTTTATATGAAACTTGTTTTAAATAAATCACATCAATGTGAAGTGGATAAAGAAAAAAGTAATTTAATACGAAATAAGTAATTTAATACCGTTTTAAACTGAAGTTACTTTAAAATTAGTAGTAAGAATTACATATCACAGCTTATAATTACCGGCAAGGCATTGACTCTATCAATTTTTCACATTCCACAAGAGTGATAGAGTTCCATTAATCTAAAAAAACATACAGCTTTCTTAAATTGCCATACTGTCCATTTTAAACCTTTTTCTTGACTTCGCATCAAAGACGCTCTATTGGATTTAGATCTAGGCTATTAATTGGCCAATCTAAGACAAATTGATTGCAATATAATAAATTCCTTAACGGTGCGTGTAACTTTAATATAGGAAATGGAAATCATATGATTATAGCAGTTTTAAACAGAGTGAAGTGTACTGGGTTACTGGGTTGAACTGTGGTGGTTTATGGTACTGTTTTTAAAATCCTTCCACTTGCTACTATGGCGCCACTATAATTAGCTCTCACTCAGCAGGCATTTTATTATTATTACACTGAGTGGTGCTCCTTACTTCTACCCTCCTTAAGGATATGGTAGCAATGTTTCTTCCAGTATGATTTTGTAATGGCATTCATCCATGTTTCCATTATTAACCCCATGTTCAGAAAATCATCTCCAAATTTTCACATTGCCTTCACCATCCTTTACTGTCACTTTTGTGTATTTATGGTCGAATGCTTGATTCGAAACAGAGGACATCCTAGATACCTATCGTATTTATGAGTATATCATTTTCCATCAGAACATACCTTGCATAGTGTTGTCTCTTCTGAAAAAATTGCATTTTTCCACTGTCTAACTCTTTTTTTATTTTATTTTTATTGCTTAGATGGATGGACGAGCTCACAGCCCACCTGGTGTTAAGTGGTTACTGGAGCCCATAGACATCTACAACGTAAATGCGCCACCCACCTTGAGATATAAGTTCTAAGGTCTCAGTATAGTTACAATGGCTACCCCACCCTTCGAACTGAAACGCATTACTGCTTCACCGTGCGTACCTACCCGTGCCGACTCCCAAGAGGTCCTACCACCAGTGATTACGCAAATTAAAATTTTTGCGGGTTTGATTTTTATTACACAATGCTATTCCTTCATCGTGGAAGTCAATCGTGAACATTTGTTCAGTACGTATTTCATTAGAAAAATTGGTACCCGCCTGCGGGATTCGAACACCGGTGCATCGCTACATACGAATGCACCGGTCGTCTTATCCTTTAGGCCACGACGACTTCAGTCTGTCTTAAATATTCTTCAAATGATTTTGTTTTTCCTCTTGACAAGATGAATTTATCTATTTAGGTGTACGCAGAACATTTGAAGTAGCTTGATAGGTAGCAAAATGCTTCACAGCGTCGAAAACCATCGTTTTTGACCATTACAGATGGTTGTACAGCCAATTCTTAAAGCAAAATTTCATTATTACTTCCCGTGTAGATTTATTACAACTTAATTTTTTTCCTGTTGTCGTGATCGATTATGAAGCAATCGCTGTTAAAACTAAAATGTTCACAGCATTAAATCGTACCAAAATAATACGAATATAGAACCTACAACCAAGCCACAAAATTGTCCGTATTTAAATTTGAAAAAAATAACTAGCATTCTTAATTATGCGACCAGGCTCGTAATGACGAAGGTTCAAATGTGATGTGTAAAGTTAATTTACTTAAATTTAGCCTATCATGGTCATCATCACCGAATGTACCGCTAGTATGGAAAAGATTTGCGATTCTAAGAGAAACACCAAAAATTTCAACTTTATATATATTTTATATACAGTCAAACCTGGGTAAGTGAGAACTGGATAAGTGAGAAAACTCTATAAGTGAGAATAATAGTCAGGACCCGTAATTTTAAGCTCCCAAAACCTCTATTAGCGAGAAACAGAAACCTTTGTAAGAGAGAGTCGTTTTTCCCTCATAGACCTCCGTAAGTGAGACTGCTACTTATCTATACCTCTTTAAGCGACAGTCGAGCTTTATTTATTTATATTATTTAGGAGGAACAAATGACAAAATAAATTACAAATTTAGCATCTGCTATTTTATAACTCATTCTTAACCATCTACCATTGTTTTTGTATTGTTTTCTCGTCAATATTGAACCCTTTCTATTTCGTGGAACTAAGACAGGAATACATTCGAACTTCCTGTGACTTGTTATTGCTGCGTACCTCTATAAGAGATAAACGCTACCCATGTACCTGCATTAGCGAGAAACTCGGGTTAGTGAGAAACCTCTATAAGCGAGAATGAGATTGTGCTCCCTTGAACTCTCGCTTGTCCAGGTTTGACTGTATATAATCTTGTTAGTTGAAAAAATCTTATTAAACAATCATTGTCATCCTTTAATAAAGAATACTAAATATTAATAATAATATGTAATAGTATATAGATTATCAAAATATATAAGATAGGAGAGATATTTCTATCTTACGGAAAACTAATGTCCCGCCCCTAAATGATTCTCATATTATTCAATTCTGTCTTGAATAAATGAACGAATTTGAGAATAATGTTTTATATAATAGCCCAAGAGCCCGTGGGCGAATACCTGTATGTAATTGACCAGACCTGAATTTTCGTACATTGAGACCCCTATACCTACCATGCATGAGGTGGGGACTCACTAAGCTCAAAGTGGTCGACGCGCCGAGCGCTCAGGTAGGACAGGTATCGATTTTGACGGATTTTAAATCCATTTGACCATGTCTGCCGAAAATTTGAAAGTAATTGACCAGATCTGCCATTGATATATGTTGTTTATTATAGTCTTAAAAACTTATACTGATCACGGCAGACCTCTACATTGCGTACACACATCAACATAATAATATAATAAAATCTTAGCTAGGGTAAAACACCCAGTAGTCAGCCTTTTAGTGGGATTCTTAACTTGATTCACCTGTATTTTTTAAAATAAGGGACTTTAAATGAAAAAATTTTTTTTTACGGAATGTTTATTTATTATTTTTACTAAAGAAATACTTTTTTTTTTTGTTAGAATTATATAAAAAATCAATATTAAACAAAATATGGCACTTTTTACCGGTAGTCAGCCTCATTTCTCCACAAGTCAGCCATGTCTTACCCTATAGTCAGCCTTTTACTTATTATTGCACGTTGGACATACAAATTCTTTATTATAGACATTTTCATAGTCTTCACCTGCAAATATAGTACATTTTAAATGATACCACGGAAAATTGTCACAACCAATATTTTTTAAGTCGTTTATTTCTGTATCACTAGTCAATTCCTCTTCACACGAATCGCATCTTATTCTGTTTACTGTGCATGTCGTACTTTTCTTCTTACTTTTACTATTTTTGGACATCAAAAACCTTTGAGCTTTCCTTTTTTGTAATTCTTCTTTCTTCTTTTGTCTTTCTTCTTCAGTCTTTTTTTACCTTCCATTCTTTTCTGCTTTTTAATCAATATTTCGTTCTTTTTCTGTTCATGAACATGCTTCGACGCAGTTTATATCTTCTTGCGTATTAAATTCAGATGCTCCTGTTTCCTGGACTTCATGATTTTGTTGCAAGACTTCAAAGTCTGTTATGAATTCGAAGTTTTTTTTTTGTTATTGCCTTTGTAGGCAGACGAGCATACGGCCCACCTGATGGTGAGTGGTTACCGTCGCCCATGGACTTCAGCAATGCCAAGGGCAGAGCCAAGCCGCTGCCTACCGCAAAAGGGTCATTTAAGGGTTCTTCACTTTCGGTTAAATTAATGAAATTATTGTCCAATGTGCACTCCCCTATAATTGGCAAACTAACATGAAGAATTTCAACTGATTCTGACGCTATGTTTGGTTGGTCTTTATGTATATGGTCAATAGAACTTGAGGTATCGATTTGGACGGCCTGGCTAATTGAATTTACTGTAGAATTTAGGCTTTCAGTACCGACCACATTCTTTGCTGTGTTTTAAACATCGATAGCGATTTTTATTCTCTTAACCCCGGATGTCGTTTAAGAAATGAGTACCATTTCGTCCCTGGCCTATTATTTACAAATGGGTTAGGTCTGTTTTTTTCTTTGTACTGGTGGATTGGTGGAGAAATGCTTACAAAAAGCAATCCACAACTTTAGACCCATTGGAGTATGGTTGGATTGAGCAGGTCAACATATATGCCTTCAAATGGTTCGAAGGTGACCAACTTCCATATTTTGTGAGTAACTTAATCACCAATGTTCCTGGTAAGTTGATAACAATTCTTTCTCGAACATGTTCAGATCAATTTACTTACGTTCATTTTACAATTTATGTTTTATTTTTGCAGTATTCGATTCTTTTTTTTTTTATTCCTACCTAAGCTGGTAGCCTAGAGAGGCTATTCCAGCGTAACCGTAACTAGTAGGTGAGCTCACGGGGCTCAAACCTGACGACGATGCTAACACGAACCCTAGCAAGAGCCGTGCTTCGCAGAATCTACCACCGGATCGGAAACGCGTACCCCCTTAGAAGATCCGGCGAGAAACTCAGTGGGCTGTGTCTGAGAGTTAATTTACTCGTCGAACCCTTCGTCGCAAGCGACGGGTTCGACAAGAACGGTGACCGGTGCTTGAAGTACCTAGAAGCACCGTTAGTGGATCGGGAGAATCCGAGATGACGTGTTTTGGGCGACGTCGACTGCTTTCCATTCTTTCCGCAGGATCGGGAATGTAGTTACCGGCGGCCACGATGAGAGGGTTCTCGTGTCGTGCTGCTTTATCGAAGTGGCGCATCGACGCCGACTGTAAATACTTACTGATGGACTCTAAGTCCAGGTCGTCATGGAGTTCGACGTTCCTGACGAATCACGGGGCTCCGACGGCTATCCTGCAAAAAACGGGATTGAATGATTTGGAATGTTTTTAAGTGAGTGCGGGCCGCGTGAGCGAACACTACACTTGCATAGGTCTTGACGGGGCGTATGCATGTTTTGTAGAGTGTCACCTTATTTCTAAGGGACATTTTACTTCGCCTGCATATCATCGGGTAGAGACGTCCTAGAATGAAGGCGGCACGGTCGCGTACCGTCTTAATATGGGGCGGAATGTTATCCTTCTGTCGAGGGTGACAAAGATGGGTGATAAAGGGTGATAAAGATGACTCCGATGATGATGATGATGAATGAAGATTGATGTATATAATGCATGCCTGATATATTTTTATTTATTTGATTGAACACTTTTAAATTTTGCTTGAGAAAATAAAAATGAGGAATTGAATTATTTTTTGATCAGTATTATACCGTATTATTTAAAATTATTCCATAAAAAATTCACTTCTTTATTATCTAACTAATGAAGTTTAGTATATAGAATATAAAAAAATATTAATTTTGGTAAATACATTGCTAAAGTAAATCTCAAGTAAATTATATTCCTCTAAAACAGTGAACAGAAAACATAATATACATCTGGCCGGGTAGTAGCTAAGATTTTACCCCGAATGGCAGGCGGCTTGACGCGTTAGTTGATGATCTCGCCTTCGATATCGTCGCTCCGCTAACCCCGACTCACTACCCGCTAAATATCGCGCATCGCCCGGATATACTCGACATAGCTTTATTAAAAAACGTAACTCTGCGCTTACACTCGATCGAAGTAGTTTCAGAGTTAGATTCAGACCACCGTCCCGTCGTTATGAAGCTCGGTCGCGCTCNTAATTTGCGTAATCACTGGTGGTAGGACCTCTTGTGAGTCCGCACGGGTAGGTATCACCACCCCGCCTATTTCCGCCGTGAAGCAGTAATGCGTTTCGGTTCGAAGGGTGGGGTAGCCGTTGTAACTATACTGAGACCTTAGAACTTATATCTCGAGGTGGGTGGCGCATTTACGTTGTAGATGTCTATGGGGTCCAGTAACCACATAACACCAGGTGGACTGTGAGCTCGTCCATCCATCTAAGCAATAAAAAATAAAAAAATATAATAAACATATATCAATGGCAGATCTGGTCAATTACTTTCAAAAAAAATTTATTTTAGCATTTTCAAAATGATCTGCCACAAAGAAAAATGCGCGATAATGGTCTGCCATTCTTATTTTCCGATAATAATAATCATATATTTTCAAAATTTCAAAACGGCAGACGTGGTCAAATGGATTTAAAATCCGTCAAAATCGATATCTGTCCTACCTGAGCGCTCGGCGCGTCGACCACTTTGAGCTTAGTGAGTCCCCACCTCATGCATGGTAGGTATAGGGGTCTCAATGTACGAAAATTCAGGTCTGGTCAAATACATACAGGTATTCGCCCACGGGGTCTTGGGCTATAAATACTGTTCATGATTTTCATTAATAGTATATAAATTATTGAAATCAGTATCAAGATTATGATTATAATATTTACTCTCTAATGATTGCCTGTAGTAACACCACATATAATAATCAGAAAGTGGTTGTTGGTTAGCCAGATTCATATATGTATCTGTATGCAGTCTTATATTAACAAGACTTTTTTAACTTGGGTCCGTCAATAAAACAAACGGAATTAATGTCAAAAGTTTATTTAAAATAAAATTAATCCAAGTCAATAATACTATAAATCGTTTTAAATATAAATATACAATACTTATTATAAATTAAATGCAAACCATGCACAATAACATCAGTACGATTCATAAATAATTATTTTGAAATTAAAATATTAAAAGAATTTGTGATTAATTTTATACTACTAATTAAGATCTAAATCCTTTACTTTCAATTTCCAGTTGTCCTTTACAAGGTAAAACTTTTCAAGTATCAACCGTAATTTGAATACATTCTAATGGTCATAATTTTATTTTTATAATCTACTAGTTTAGAATATTATACAAGTTAATATTCGCATGGTTTCTTTGAATTTACAGTTTCAAATATTACTTTTATCTTGAGTGTAGATCAAAAATAAGAATGTGCATTCATTATGTAATCAATACATAATTACTATATGATTTTATATGTATAGTGCATGTGATCACGCATGTAATCTTGCATGCATAATGTGATCATGCTGGCCATTAACAATGTCTTCATAATGATACAAAAAATAATAAGATTTCTTCAGTGCAAGTGGTTTTAAGGTAACTTCACAATTAAATATGTGATGAGACATATAATTAGAGATGAAACTATTAATATTATTACTAAACTATGTATAAAGTCAGATTGAATTAATAATAATAATGAATATATTATAAGATCCTCATGTGAGGTGTGATCTTGATTGGTGTTGTTGATATTGGTTTCTTTGGGCTATGCTTGTTTGGTGAACTCATAACTACATTAACAGCCTTTCTTAAAATTTGATGCTCACTTCTCTTGTATTCATCAGTTATCTGAGAGAGGTCTAAATCAGCATCTAACACTAATACCTGAAAATAAATTCATCTTTACTATATTGAATTTGTTTGCACTTAGTTTCAACATTTTGATTGCCATTTAGATCGTCGCCAGGCGTGCCCTACATGGCGCATTGAAATAATTGTTTGGCTTTTAATGTACGTTTTAGCCTTTCAGGTCTTTTAGTAACAGATTCATTCTCAGTATGTTCAGATTCATCTTTCCCAGAGTCTACTAGATATTCTGGCGCCTTAAAAAGAAAACCAAAGAGAGAAACTATGTGTGAGCGTGGATACTCATATGGAGTTTTATTCAATATAGGCCAATGTGTTACTAGCTAACAAGTGTATCCCTCGTATATAACAGAAACTGAACTAGTTACATCAAAGGGCTATATAGGGCACCAGTAACCTATATGGCAGTCAAAGGGTCTAGTTTTAGCTTAGAAAGCTAATAACACTATAGTCAGAGCTAATATTAAAAAATATTTTTTTATGTAAACGCTTCTTACAACTAAGATACACTTTTTTTTCTTTTAAATGAGGTCAACTAACATACTACCCAGTTTAAATTTATTACTACAGCCCATAGGTTATTACTACAGCCCATATCTACATCAAGTACATAGTGTGATTGTATTGTGTAAAGCCTGGCAGAAATAGATAATTAGATATTACTGACCCAAGTAAGGTCACAATACATTTATACCACCAAGCAGTAAAGTTACAATAGAACTTATAAAAGAGTTAAGATTCTTCTCATAAAAGGGAACTGATTCACATTCCAGGTTTTTACTTAACTAGCACACTTGGATGTGACAGCCCCATTGAACACAAACATGACAAATAATTGTCTAGCTTTATCCGCCTTCATAGAACCGAAATTAACTTTCTGAATTATTTCTCAATCTATTTTTCCTGAAAGAGCTACAGCTGTACTCAAAATATATTATATTTGTCTAGTGTTGATTTCCTCTTCAAAAAATGTTTATTTCTAGTTTATTTTACTTACTGGTGCGGGACATTCAGCATGTATCCTGTTGATTAGCCAGTCCTCATGCAACCTATGCAGTTCCTCAATGTATGACAAGGGCACACACTGCTCTTCTGAACGAGCTCTCTTTTTGATCCTTTGGTACACTATTGAAGGTGATGTCTTTAGATATACTGTAATAACAAAGCAAGTTTTGATTTTAAGATTCTATTAACTCAATGTACTGTGTTATGAATATGGTCTATTGAGACATCTTAAACTAAACAAAACATTACCAGCAGTACCTAACATAGGCATTTATACCAGAAATATGTAATGTTGCATAAGATAAATTAAATAACAGAAGTGTTAGCAAAACAATCTCTGTTATGTCATGATCATTACATCACTTAAAAATTTTGGTCCTTAAAAAATAGTCCTTGAATAAGTAAGTAAAATCAAACCTATCAAATCAGCATCAATAGGAATGTTGTGTTGGATGAATCGGAACCACTCATCAAGTACTGCAAACTGTGCTGGATGGAGTGTATTATTTCTCATCATGTGTGTTGGACGGTTATATTTGAGAGGATTGGGTTCTTTAGGTTGATGAGGGGCTATTTTAAAAACACAACTGCTTCATTATAATTATATTGCAGATAGCTTTAACACTTTTACACCATTATACAATTTTTATCTTTATATTTTTTATAAAACTATTACATGTTTTTCATGCCGTGTCTAGATGAGAAGTCACTGACATTTTCTTATGAGAATACAATGATCTGTTTTTTAAAACATTTAAAATAATTCCAATATTCGAAATCTAATCAAGTGTCAAGTGTTGCCTGCCATTACATTTAATATACAAACTCCAACAATGTGTTCAACGAAGCAGTATCTCGCACTGAATAATGATCGCTCCATTAGCTTTACTGGAGTTGAAGCAGGTCTCCGGTGCATGTCCAACATCGTCAAGGAAACGTATGACTGGAATGTCATCGCCCATTTTTCTGGATCTTTGTACATGAGTTCCTAAAATGAGGAATAACCCACCTTAGATTCAAATTGATTTATTCAGGGATCGTTGTGTAAAGTATATCCGAGATTCCATAGATCGCATTATTTGGTTATTGCAAATCATAAACAAATGTTTAAAAATGCATTTGCAAACATTGAAATGGTGTACTTACCAAAAGATTGCAACCTTTAAGATCTCGCCACATTTCAACGGGCTCCGTCAACAAAGTGATATCCTCAAACTGACGAAAATGTTCCAGAAATGTTGTTTTACCGCTACCTATGTTACCTTCCACGAACACGGTGAATGGTTTAACATTGTTGGCACTCATTTTAGAGATGTTAGAGGCAACTGAAAGCATTTTTTATTAAACTAGTTTATTGAACACGAAACTTGCGATCTGCAATATTTTCCCGCCGAAAATGTACCAGTTATAACAAGCCAATGCCAAGCCAAAGAGAACCTGTCAAATGTGATAAATTCAATCCTTTTGAACAAAGCATCCGAATAAACGGATGTCTGAACATGCTTCAACTGTAGCAAAATTTAATAAGGTTTTAATTGATGTGGTAATGCATTTTCTTTAATTACAAATCAGCAGATCCAAACAAATGTACAGGAAGTTTATTTATTTGATTAGTTTATTTCTTTTTTATCTGTGGGGTTAGACATTGACTCTGAATCGCACGTGCTCGTGCTATCAAAGTTTTAATTTTTTGACATTCTCGTCAAGTTTATTAAAACTGACTAGAGAGTAAATCATGAAGGATTATATTAATAACAAAATTATCGCTATGAAGGTTGTAATGTGGGCAAGTTATTACAGTTACTTTTTGAATGTGAATTCACCAAATTTTTCCTCAAATTCACATTATAATCTTCAAAGCGACGTTGTGGTTTTCATTCAATACAGTAGAATTAGCTTGTTGTAATTAAATAATAGGATTTTACCCATGTTAGAGCCATCTTACAATACTGACCATTTAAGCCACAATTAATATGGATGACAATAAATTCTAAATTCAACGGAATTCAATTTTTTTTTTTTTCAATAAATTTGGATTACTTTTTCAAATTAAACTTGTTGTTTTTTAATTACTAGTGTTTTGGGTTTATTATATTTATAGCTTTTTCATCAATATGGACACGATACAAATACGAATACCTAATTATAAAAATTAAATACAAGTTCCGTCGTGACTCGTGGCAACAATGCTGCACAAATGGGTCGCAACATTACAACATGTACGGAGTGAACACTATAAATCAGGGGCTCCCAAACTTATTTCATCTACTGCCCACTTTGAGAATAAATTATTTTGTAGCGCCCTCATTTTGTCACCTACTTAAAAACTGCTATAGCGAGAACTCAGTCGGTGTCTTAAAGAGTTCTCCTAGATGAAATTACAAATCGCCTCACAAGCCTCTACACAAGGCCCCCATTTTTTCTGGGTCTCTTACCGCCCCCCTTTAGGCCTGTAGCGCCCACAAGGGGGCGTTATCGCCCACTTTGAGAAAGGCTGCTATAAATAAATAAAGCGTTCGACCGCTCTGACATGAAAATTTCAAGAAGTTAAGGAAGTTAAAGGTGAAGCTAACGTTCAGCTCAAACTATAGCTGAGTTAGCAGCAGCTTTCAAAACTAGCATCAAAACACTATTTGTCAATTTTTAAGGCAATAGTTTGATGTGGGTTCCGTACGAGCTAAACGATCTCCAGCGCGACGAACGCATTAAGGAGCACATTACTTCGCCAGACATAGAAACGAAACGAAGGAATTTTGTATCGCACTCACTTGCGATGAAAACTAGATTCTTGTAGATCGTAAGCGGTTGTCATGTTAGTTAGTTAGACCTTGATTCCTTGTCACTGTTTGGTGATCTAGTACCAATATAATTTATTACAGCTTTTTACCCAATGGCACCTGGATTACTGCTGATGTGTATTGTGAGGACCTGGACCCAATGATGGGGAAGCTCACGAATCTCTGGCCAGGCTTGGGTAATCACGCTACCTCATATAAATAAATAAAAAATACTTTAAATTTGGTGGTAGGACATCTTGAGAGACCGCACGGGTAGGTACCACCACCTCGCCTATTTCTGCCTTGAAGCTGTAATGCGTTTCGGTTTGAAGGGTAGGGCAGCCGTTGTAACTATACTGAGACCTTAGAACTTTTATCTCAAGGTGGGTGGCGCACTTGCGTTGTAGATGTCTATGGGCTCCAGTAACCACTTAACACCAGGTGGGCTGTGAGCTCGTCCACCCATCTAAGCAATAAAAAAAGAAAAAAAAAAAATGTATATAGACCAAAGGGCAATTTCATAGGTAACCTAATAATAGAATCGTTGTTTACTAATTAATAAGTAAATTGTTTAATTGATGCTTACCTCGCAGTTTTGTTATATTTTAACTTCTTACGATGTTAGTTTCTGTCAAACATTAAAAGTTTTACGCAAATATTTATAAATTCCTCGTTAAATTCTTATCAATATTCACTTTTACCCTGGGTTTTTACCGAGACCAGGGCTGTCCAAGGTACCTGCAAGCTAATTAAATTTAGGTACTACAAAAGCTGCCAGTCGCAGAATTTCAAAACAAAATTCTTTCCGGGAATTCCCCGAACAATAGCAAAAGATAACTTCACGTTACCTATGGACCTACCTAGAGGTAGCATCGGTCACTCACATGCCACGAATACGCAAACCCGCAAGTGTAGGACGACATTTGCAATGATTATGCAAAGTTTTCGCTGCATTCGTGGTTTTCCAAGCTGTGTCGGTTTTTTAACAGATATCAAAGCGCGCGAACCTCGAACCTTCGCGTAGTCTCCCACACATTCGCTTGCCCAGTTGCGCCGACGATTGCGAAGGTAATGGACGTATCGCCATTTTCATAGTTCGTGACGTCTACTGTGTAGCGTATCTTCATCAAAAGAAATCCCATAAAAACAGTATGGCTGTTAATGATGTCTGGGAAAGAATTCAAAACTCTTTTTCTCTTCAATGTTCTATTGACGAATTAAAAAGGAGGAGAAATTCGTGAGACATTCGTTAACAAGTGTAGGAGGAAGCGCAAACGGGTTCGCAAATTGAGTATGCGAACCCATTTGCACAGCCATATGAAAATGGCGATACGTCCGTTACCTTCGCAATCGTCGGCGCAACTGGGCAAGCGAAAGTGTGGGAGACTACGCGAAGGTTCGAGGTTCGCGCGCTTTGATGTCTGTTAAAAAACCGACACAGCTTGGAAAACCACGAATGCAGCGAAAACTTTGCATAATCATTCGCAAATGTCGTCCTACACTTGCGGGTTTGCGTATTCGTGCGCATGTGAGTGACCGGTGTAAGGTTCAGCCCCGGGCCCGAAAAAAAAAGAAAAATGCAATCGACGTCTCCAGGTTTTACCACAGTAATCATTTTAGGTTATATTGACGAAATTAGTTTGGACTACGTAAGCATGTGAGGTCTTCTATATTATATTGTCACTAACTACTTCAGTCATTAAATATATTAAATTTCCTAACCCAGCATACTTCAATCAGTTAACAGCTGCTCAATTCATATCATACCCTGTGCCTATGCTAGCGCCATTCTGGAGGATTTTTGAACTGTTATTTAGTGCTGAAAATGGGTTAGTTAGGGACATTTTTTGAAGCTTCTCCCATATGAGACGGTTCTCCTTACCTCTACTTTCCGTACTTCACATATAAATGATGTAGTGGGAATAGAATGTTACAAGAATAAAGATAAATTATACCAAATATTGATTAAATGTTTTGACAAATAATTCTATTATCCAAACTATTTATATTCAAAACTATTCTGATTAAAACATGCGTCGCGCGCTGCATGAAAAGATGTCTAATCAACCCTAATATGAGCCAAAATCATTTCTAAATGTCCTAATTTGATTATTTTTTTCCTATAGAAATATTGAGTTATATATAAGTATAAAATGGCAAAGAAATACCTTCTGCTGAGACTTAATTATTTATAAAAAATGTTTTTAATCAAATTACGCTATAATACCTACTTATTTTAAACAAGCTAGTTAAGAGTAGGCAAAGGAAAGTTACGGTTCATGGACAGATATTTATAAGCGCCAAATTTTAAAAACACCAATCACTTGGGTCCACGAAATCCATTGACAATACACGACCCTCCTCCTCCGTTTTGTAAATGAATTTTAAAGATTGACGTGTTTATTTTACGTATTTAAGTTACACATTGTAGTGTGCTGTGAATCTCGATCTCAAAAATTTTATAATCGTTTATTCATAAATAGTGTGAAATTTCATAATGTTACACGGATATTTTATAGGTATATTTGCAAAACATAACATCAAACTGTGACGCTTTTTGACATTGTTTAAATTTATTAATGTGCCGGTAAATTTACATTTCATATTTTTATTTCAGGTATCTTGCTCTGTGCAACGGGGTCCTTGGCCCTCTATGATTCGTCTTCAGACGTTATCGAGCTGACACCGAGTAATTTCGACAAATTAGTTACAAATTCCGACGAAATTTGGATCATTGAGTTCTTTGCACCGTGGTGTGGACATTGTAAAAGCCTTGTTCCCGAATATAAAAAAGCTGCGAGAGCTCTAAAGGTACTTATTTTAATGAAACGGATAAGACTTTATACAAAATAACAAATTGTATTCATTAGATAGCTGGGTAGCGTAGTTCGGTGGACCATTTCATCATTAACAAAATACCGTTTGTTAATATGATAAAAACTTCATACCGATAAGCTATCTAAATTAAGTAAACGACCGAGTTTATTCATTTTCAGGGCATTGTAAAAGTAGGTGCCTTAGATGCTGATGAACATAGAAGTGTATCACAGAAATATGGAGTCACTGGCTTCCCCACAATTAAGATATTCACAGGGAGCAAGCACACACCATATCAAGGTCAGAGGACAGCAGAAGGTTTTGTTGAAGCTGCTTTAAAGGCAGCCAAGGAGAAGGCATATGAAAATCTCGGCAAGAAATCGAGTGGGTCCTCTTCTGATAAGGTAAAATTTTTGCATAAGTTCAGGTTGTTGCTAAAAAACTATAAATTGAAGAAGAAAAATAGAACCTTGAAAAATGGTTGATATAATTTTTCAAGCTATGCCTACTAAGTAAAATATGTTGCGGTAAAAATATATTAATTACTCTAAGTTCATTAATAAACACTAAAGTAAATATAAAGATATCTCATTAAATTCTCAATTTAATTCCAAGACAAAAATTTACGGACACAACATTCCATGGAAATCTTTGAAAAGGACTCAAATGAAGCAAATTAATCCATCTGTGTATATGACACCTGAAAAGAAACTGAAATACGTTCAATATCAAGCACATCTTTTTCGTAGAATAGAAAAGTATGATGATGAAACAACAATAACAATAAATTCTTCACATTAAAAATAAATTTCATATTATATGTTATAAGTGGGAGGTTTCATGAAATCACAAGAAAAAAATCCTTATTTCTGATAGTTCCAAAAAGTTTTCAAATATTGACATGCTAATTGTAATTATAAACATCCATATGATAGATAGGTAGGTATGTCTCCATTTCATAGATGACTGATATATTGAATGATGATGAAATGAAATGAAAGATGACTATTTTTAAGACTTTCAAAACTATTTTAATCTCAGAAATGAAATACACAAGAAATATTCCTCTCGAGAAACTGAATGCCAAACAACAAAGGACAATGACATTTTATTATCTTAATGAGTTTAAAAGTTATTTTTCTGAAATTTTCCATGGATAATGAAATCTATCTATCTAATGAGTCATTCTAATCTTGCTTTTCTCAAGCCTTCCAGAAAATTATTGACTATTTTGTTTAAATGGGTTTTTTTTAATGCTGGGGAATTTGTTTATGTACTAAGTACTTCACTCAGGTCCACGAATGCTTAAGAAAATAAACCTGCAAAAAATGTGTTCCGGTTTAAAGTATGAGACAGTCGAAGAACTATAAAAATGAGACTTAGTCCTTATGTCTCAATGGGGGTTACGGCTTTGACATTGTGATTTCTATGGAGTTCGATAACCACTAGATTAGCTCACTCGCCAAAGGAGAATTTTCTTTTTTTTGTGTATTTTAAATGATCGTATTTGTTCCGATTTTTCATACACACTGAGACATTGTGTAAATTTAATATATTTTATGTAATAGGTAAAAACTTCGACCTATTATCATTCATATTATGAATTTAACTATGATAATCCACCTAATAAAATAAAATGTAACCAGCATATTGTATTCTTGGCTTGCAATGTGTTGACTCGTAATGCGACTCCCACATATCCTCTCACTTTTTTCCAGAGTTCTGTTAGGCCACGTCACACTAACGCCGATCATTGACCTTGTCAATACATCCCACACGACAAATATTTAGTAACTTTTTTATACTGTAATATTCATTATCCAGATTTTTCTCAGAAATGTCATTAGGTTTTTTTTTTATTGCTTAGATGGGTGGGCGAGCTCACAGCCCAGCTGGTGTTAAGTGGTAACTGGAGCCCATAGACATCTACGACGTAAATGTGCCATCCACCTTGAGATATAAAGTTCTAAGGTCTCAAGTATAGTTACAACAGCTACCCCACCCTTCAAATCGAAACGCATTACTGCTTCACGCAGAAAAAGGCAGGGGGTGGACCTACCCGTGCGGACTCCCAAGAGGACTACCACCAGTGATGCGACATTTCGCCTCGTTTGGCCTGCGGCTAGTGAACTTTTGACTACGTCTTCAGTACATCTGTAGAGAATACTTGTTTTTATCTTATTAACACAGGAGACTGTACCCCATATAGAATGTATTCCAAATAAAATAAAATAAAAAATATACATGTACAGATAAAAACAAAAATCACACGACTCGCGAAAACCGAATAAAAATACTATAGATATCTACTTTTTTTTTCATATGAGGTTGTTCACCAAGCTACTGATGGTAGGATATCTTGTGAGTCCACACGAGTAGGTACCACCACCCTATCTATTTCTGTTGTGATCCGTTCACTGTTTCGCTTCGAGTAGTTCCGATTACTAACTGACTGACTGCGTGCCATTTCTGCAACGCTTTTATAGTCGAGACGAAATTCCAAGAGTCGTCGAGAATATTCCACACATTTGTAGTATTGTGCTTCCGCTATCTGACAATAGATGGCGTTGTACTCCTCGCGCGTTCTATATGTTACAAGATCCTTCGGTATTCATTCGACTATTCGGCAATAGATGGCGTTACACATATCGGCGAAACAATATCGTGCTATGCGACTGTGCCGGTTGATCCTAGCCCGCAGGCAGGTGGTACCAATTTTCGGAATGAAATACGTACTTAACGAATGCTCACGAATTTCTTCCATGATGAAGGAATAACATTGTGTAACAGAAATCAAACTTGCAAAAATTAAAGTTTTGCGTAATCTTTGGTAGTAGCAGAGCATCTTGTTAGACTGCGCGATTTGCGACGAAAGGCTCGGCGAGTAAATTAACCCACAGACACAGCCCACTGAGTTTCTTGCCGGATCTTCTCAGTGGGTCGCGTTTCCGATCCGGTAGTAGATTCGAAGCACGGCTCTTGCTAGGATTCATGTTAGCAACATCGTCAGGCTTGGGCCCCGTGAGCTCATCTACTATTTAAGATTACGCTAATATGGTCTCTCTAGACCTGATGGTCTTAGGTAGGAAAAAAAAAGACTGCGCGGTTAGTTATTGCCTATTTCTTAAGCAGTAAGGCTTTTCCAGTGGAAGGGTGGAGCAGCCATTATACTGTAACTTACAAGTTATGTCTCAAGGTGGATGGCAGCATTACGTTGATGTCTATGGGCTCCAGTAACCACTTGACATCAGGTGATTAGTGAGCTCATTTATTTGTACAACTAATAAAACATCTTCTAAGTCAGTCTCTTCATTGCTGAAGGTCGTTTCTAGTTTGAAATGTTGATCACTCGATCCACTATGCTTCATATATTGCGGTCTTTCCTTATCCTAGTAAGTTTAGTCATTGCTCATTTGGACATTTCGATTCTTCTGGCGATCTTCTTCTCGCTGCCATCTTCGTCACTAAGAAGAGAGCCAAGATAAACGAACTGGTCAACAATTTCCAAGTCTTGAAGTTGTCAATAAAACAAACGTTAGGTTTTTGATACAGTTACGCCATTTTTTTCTAGGATACATGTGTATTAAAAAATAGTATTATATGTAGTAATATTTTTTTATAATATTTCTTCCAGTCTGATGTCATTACTCTAACAGACAGCAACTTCAAAGAACTGGTCTTAGACAGCGATGACCTCTGGCTGGTTGAGTTCTATGCTCCTTGGTGTGGGCACTGCAAGAATCTTGAACCTCACTGGGCTAAAGCTGCCACCGAACTTAAAGGAAAGGTCAGTATTGTAAAAGCAAAGCTTTAGTGAAACATAATTTTAAAATTCCGATCTGTATTCATAATATGAAGGAAATAAGGTATATAAACGCGTATATTGTAGTAACATTTTAATAAGTTTTTGAAATGTATATGGCCTACTTGAATTCATACTTAAAATTTGACTTTATTATATTTTTTTTATTTACTAACAAAAAGGTTTATATTTTATACAACATGCATAAAATTTTGTTAAACATAGTCATCCCGTTCTAGTGATAAATTTAAATTGAATATCATAAGTAAAAAAAAGACAACATTTTTAGTCATATTGTTCTCATTGTTGAAATGTCTATAATCCTGATGACCAGATGTAACCTTAGAACGATGATTTTAGGTCAAGCTGGGTGCCCTGGATGCAACAGTTCACACAACAATGGCGTCACGCTACCAAGTACAAGGATACCCGACCATCAAACTATTCCCATCAGGGAAGAAGTCTAGCGATTCTGCAGAAGACTACAATGGAGGCAGGACGTCAAGCGACATCGTTACTTGGGCTCTTGAGAAGCTCGCTGAGAATGTTCCCGCACCAGATATCATACAGGTCTCTTTAAATACATATTTAACAAAAATCATTTGTCACATTTTAGATTACTAAAAGCTCAGTCATTATGATGAACTTAAACTATTTTGACAAATATCATGTCTTGACGTTTGGACGCGAATCCAACCTTCTTTTTATGTCAATGAAATAGAATTCGTTTGAATGCATAGTAGAAAAATTAACACTGAAACTTGGCATTAAATACAAAATTCAATTAAGATTAAAAAAATTAAATAAGGCCAATAACTAATAACAGTTTAAAGTATTCACACTGAAGCAGCAATGACATTATCACAAAATTCAATGGCTTTTGTTGAAATGTTTGCTATCGATTTTATAGTCAAACATAAATATTTTTATTGTTTTAAGAAAATGTTATTTATTTCGCGAATCTAACAACGTCGAGTTACATTTTATTACTTGTTGTGGTGAAGTGAATAGTCATATCCAATATATATGTATATTAGTAATTTTATATTATTAATAATTTTAAATCATATAAATACTCAATAATAATCAAAATTCATAAAATGCCAGTAATTTCATTATGGAAATGGACACAAAACAACATTTTAATAATATCTTCTAAATTTTATACTTAAATTGGATTATCAAAGCTACCATTATTAACACATTGAACGCCATGCGGCCCACCAGTGGGCCTAGCGTACTATACCATTTAATCAATCAATAGTATAGTCATAGGTACTTTGTTAAATATCTTGATATAACATTAGCCAACTCTATCATGTGACATGTGCAACAGCTACCAATATTTTCAAAATGCATAAAGCTACCATAAACGATTTTATAGCCTTTGACCTAAGCATCAGATGCAAATTTAAAAGAAAATGCTAATTTTATGTTACTAGCTCTAAATAAAATAAAATGTGATAAAATATGATTTACAGGTTGTTGGTGAAGAAACTTTGAAGGCTTGCAGCGAGAAGCCTCTATGTGTTGTATCAATTCTGCCTCACATCTTAGACTGCAATGCCGCATGTAGGAATGACTATATCTCCATCCTCAAACGTCTTGGTGACAAATACAAGAACAAGATGTGGGGGTTTGTATTATTTAACTCATATACTTTATGTAGCATTAAAATTGAGTGATATCAATACTGCCCATACAATTATTAATCACGTGATGATTATTTTTTATTGCTTTACTGCAAAAATAGTTACTTATACATCCTACTATTAGTGTAGGGTGCGATGTGAGTTTGTTATTTAAAGATTATGTTCCTTAAAAATGTTTATTGTTAAAATATAAAGTAAATCAGTTAAATGTAAATGTTATGAATGCACCCGGGTGACGCGGTTGTTGATCGTGCACTGACGATTTGTAGCAATAAAGTTAACGCGTCACGCGAATTATACTGACAAAGGTGTTCGGTAATATATCACCGAACAATTAGCAATTACAGAATTTGAATGCGTTTCGGTTTGAAGGGTGGGGCAGCCGTTGTGACTATACTGAGACCTTAGATCTATATCTCAAGGTGTGTGGCGCATTTACGTTGTAGATGTCTATGGGCTCCAGTAACCACTTAACACCAGGTGGGCTGTGAGCTCGTCCACACATCTAAGGAATAAAAAAAAATTTTTTTTAACACATTCTTTAAACAAACAATATATAATAATTACTTTATATTACAGGTGGATTTGGGCAGAAGCTGGTGCACAACCAGCACTTGAAGATTCTCTGGAGCTTGGCGGATTTGGTTACCCTGCCATGGCAGTTGTCAATGCTAAAAAACTCAAGTTCTCTACATTGAGAGGTTCTTTCTCTGAAACTGGCATCAATGAGTTCCTAAGGTAAGCTTTTCTATTGATTGGTAAACGGTAATGGCTGACCCAACCTTCTATTGGAACACATTACTGCTTCACGGCAGAAGTAGGTAGGCTGGTAGTACTTACCCCTGTGGTCTTATAAGCAGCAATCACGCCCACGGGATTTGAACACGATTTCGATTAACAAACGTTTTACGAATATGAAAAATCTTTCTTCTCGTTTTTGTGACTTGAATTAATTTAGTAAGTTTGTAATAAGTAATCCATATATAGTAGTGACAGTATTCACACTCAATTTTTTAGTTTGTACCTCTTTTTCTTATTACAGAGATTTGTCGTTCGGTCGTGGCCAAACAGCACCGGTGAAAGGAGCAGAGATGCCCAAAGCCGTGACCACAGAGCCGTGGGACGGCAAAGACGGCGAACTTCCATTAGAAGAGGACATTGACCTTTCAGACATAGATTTAGAGAAGGATGAATTATAAAGCCATACTAATTTGTGAATGAACACTTGATGCCAGATTTTTTTTATTTGTCATATTAAAAATTCCAATAATTAGGCATGTCGCAAGAATCATTGCAAGATGTTATTAAATCGTTATTAGAAAAAGTATTCAAGGGATTTAAGTCAATTTAAGGGATAGATTAAAGATGGCGCTGATGTCATTAGTAGTTTGGTCAAAATGTCTACTTGATTTTTAAAATTGTATATATTTTGAAACATGTACTATATTATATTAAACCATTTTAATATGACTAAATTTAACCTGTGCAAGTTAGAATCATTTATTGAATGAAATTTAGATTGTAAAAATCCTTCTGGTTTTATCTATAGGATTAGTAAAACGGATTTAAGTAAAATAGGATTATTTTGTATGTACTTCAATCCAGTGTCATTAATAATATCACAATGCATAGAATAGTTATTTACTATAATACATAACATATTATTCGTAAGTACATAAGTTACAATGGACTGAATTTTGTATTTTATTACTGATAGTGTATCTTCACATTGGTCGAAGTTTGAACAGTGCTCTATGATTTTGTAATTTATCACAAATTATGTGCGACTCTTCCAGTAGCTTAAAATAAATACTTGACCGTTTTAAATAAACATAAAGGTGATCGCTAATAAAAAATTTGATTAAAAATTGAATTTTTATTTTAATAAATGTCAAACGACCCCTAATGAATGTGAATGCCTTTTATTCTTTTTCTTTACAAATAATAAATGACTTCACGCGTAACATTCATTTGGGTTGACGAATTTACGTTTCTAAAAAGGTTTTATTTATATTGCTTACGTGGATGGACGAGCTCACAGCCCACCTGATGTTAAGTGGTTACTGGAGCCCATAGACATCTACAACGTAAATGCGCCAACCACCTTGAGATATAAGTTCTAAGGTCTCAGTATAGTTACAACGGCTGCCCCACCCTTCAAACCAATACTGCTTCACGGCAGAAATAGGCAGAGCAGTGGTACCTACCCGCGCGGACTCACAAGAGGTCCTACCACCAGTAATTACGCAAATTATAATTTTGCGGGTTTCATTTTTATTACACGATGTTATTCCTTCACCGTGGAAATCAATCGTGAACAGTTGTTGAGTACGGATTTCATCATAAAAATTGGTACCCGACTGAGATTCGAACACCGGTGCATCGCTCAACACGAATGCACCGGAAGTCTTATCCGTTAGGCCACGACGACTTAAAAATAAAATTCAATAATTTTGCTTAGATAAAATTGTATGTTATGAATTATGGACAAGAACAAAAGGCGTGATAACGATAATATTTCTTCTGCCAAAAATATTCTTCAATAGATCAGCAAGCATCATAAATTATTGATATAACTTGTTCTAAAATTGATAAACACTTTTTATGGCAGACTTGTTGATATCACAAGATAAGGTGAATGTGTAGATACCTAACTGTCATGATTGTAATACAATACTTGAGACCTTAGAACTTGTATCTCAAGGTTGATGGCGCATTTACGTTGTAGATGTCTATGGGCTCCAGTAACCACATAACACCAGGTGGGATGTGAGCTCGTTTTCGAAATATCCAATGTCGAAATTCTAAAAGTGTCTACTACAAAGGGAGGATTTCCAGTCGGTAATATTACTCTGGAAAACGCTTAGACCGATGATCCGAATATTGTTCAGAACCTGTGTTATAGCTTGTGTTGAAAATGGCGTTAGTATGATTCTGGTTTTTGCCGGAACCTTTCTATTCTATCAATATTACCGCTACAGCAATATAGGTCTAAGGATCATAATGATAAGCTGGTTTGGCCATCTGCGCTATGAAAATATACTATTGATATTAAAACTGCTCACTCTTGAATCTGCGGTCGAGCAGCATGGAAACGCATATAATGCCACTACACCAAAAACCCGTTTATTTTCCTATCTAATAAATGTTTCTCAAAAGTTCGTCATACTAATCCTATTTGTAAGCCAGTTTGGTTTATTGTTACATTTAAGCTCTTTTAAACTATAAATTATTATCTTAATGGACGTTGAATGACACCATAATATTCTTGTTCTAATCAACCTCAATTTAACGATCGGTGTAAAATAGAGTAAAATTAGATGCGCAGCAAGATCGAGAATTGTCATTATACTTTTTCTTTGTCGCATCACTCTTGTGAGAGCGGTCGTCGTCAGTATCGTTAACTATCGTTGCTGTGGACAGATGTTATGCCCCTCTCGAGTAATCGCCACTTTTCCCAGTTTATGGTGAGCCTGGTACACTCATGGAATACAACTTTTAAACTATGTATTAGCCTACATAACTTTTTCAAGGTGCCATGGAGGGCGTACTTGCAACCTACTTGATGTTGTGTGGTCACCGCAGCTTATGAGCATCAGTACCGTATCAGCACAGTCAAGCCACTACCCATTGAGAACGCTTTTCAAATTCGTTTGAAGAAGACCATCTCTTTTTTTTTCCTGCCTATGCTGATAACCTTGAGAGGCTATTTTAGCGTAATCTTAACTAGTAGGTGAGCTCACGGGGCTCAAACCTGACGACGTTGCTAACACAAACATTAGTAAGAGCCGTGCTTCGCAGAATTTACCACCGGATCGGAAACGCGACCCACTGAGAAGATCCGGCGAGAAACTCAGTGGGTTGTGTCTGTGGGTTAATTTACTCGTGGAGCCCTTCGTCGCAGGCGACGGGTTCGGCGAGGACGGTGACCGGTGCTTGAGGTAGCTAAAAGCACCGTTAGTGGATCGGGAGGATCCGAAATGACGAGTGTTGGGCGACGTCGACTGTTTTCCATTCTGTCCGCAGAATCGGGAATGAACCATCTCATTGCGTTCAAAAAACTCCGTGAAGGGGAATATTACAGAGCCAGATAGTCTATGGTAAAATTATTTCAGGAAATGCAATGCAATAATAAGATTGTAAAGAGATGACGGTAGCATCTCACGACAATTTTTCAGTGTACTCCCTGAGGGACGACAGACATAAAGCCAAACCAGACTCACTGTTAGCAATGGTAATGTGTGTATATATTGTTGATATATTATTATATTTAATTTGTGTATTGATAATGTAACAAATAAACAAAAGAAAACATATTTTAGCTATTCAGAATCATACTTTATTTATTGTTTAAAAGGGGCCTAGAATTATATAAGATCCTTGTGGTCATCCTATTTTTATTTGAGCATAATAAACAAATATGTATAGCTAAGTAACAATATAACACCTTTTGTTTAACAGCTTGTTCACAACACGCACACTGCATAGTAAATAGACAACCTTATGCATGTGTTAATCGCTAAATATTAACCTAATTTTACTTAAATTACAAAATTGTTAAATTTTCACAACAAAATAAGCAACTAGTAAAAATCTTATTTTCACTCAAGCCTGATGATATGTTGATATGTATTTAGTTTATCAAGGCAAGGAATGTAAATCAATTTCTATTTTGAATCCTTATATAATTTCCACAAGTATGATATTTACTTTATAATATGATATTGATAAGAGTAATAAAAATTAAGTTAGGTAAGTAATATTTTTTGTTTGTATGGCACCCATTATCTATAACTGAGGTAATGTTGGTAAGAAGGGTTATCCACAATAACAAAGCTGCAACCTTATGGGTTAGTGGGTAAAATATTTATGCAAATCCAGATTAATACAGTTTTTATAATGGCTTGCTTTTGTTACTATTGGCCATTTTGCATTGCATCTTCATTTATAAGCTACAAAATAGCACTTTTTTTCTAAATATTTGTTTTCTATTTGATTATGAAAAATTGTTCCCTAGTGTTAATGTTTTTAAGATATAGTTTCAGAGTAACTGCTAATCTACTCTTAATTTACAATAATACATTTAAACACTTATTAGTAGATTTATGTATCTAACAAACAATTGGTCATTTTCAGTCTCATTATTAAACAGTAAAATATCTGTAATATCTATACAAAAAAGCGATCTAATATAATTTCATGACCTAAATTAAATTAATGGGTTTAGTGCAGTTAGCCTTTATTCACAACCAGATTATATAAATTTAACTGATGAGTTTATAGCCTATCTTGTAATGAAGAAAAAAAACTTTGATAAATATTTTTTTTTCTTTTTTCTTTTTCAGGAGCCAAACGTATTATACAATTAGTATTATTTTAATTTAGTTATTTTACTGAATATACTTTTCTAAATAATGTTAAAATATAGTAGATCTCCATATGCATTGGTGATTCCAATACAGATTTAGTCAAAAACGTTTTTTATGTTTAATACTGTAAGTATCGGCTCTATGTCTTACACATACAAACTTCAATATGTTTATTTGTGATATGTTTTAATCTTAATACTTATTTCAATTTATATGTGGCATAGAATGTCATAAAATATTATGTAAGCCCACTGAATTGATCCTGAATTTCACAAGGTCAAGCCATGGTAGGGGTTCCCATAATATGGTATTTTTCTTGTCTGTGACAAAAATAAGGGTAGCACATTGAGAAATAATAGAAACCCATTCCTGCCACTACCAGTGCCACGACTAAGAACACAATTCCCCATGCAGATATTCCCACACCACGCCTTGTGGTGCTCTGTGAAGGTATACCCGGGGAAGTGCCTCCGTACGGTTTAGCCTTCCCTAGACCCTGGTTCCCACTACCGTATTTACTATTTCCTCGATTGGAGCTACGCAAAGCGTCGCATCCTGCAGTATGATTTAAAACTGAAATAAAAATGACTCTTTTATATGAAGNGAACACAATTCCCCATGCAGATATTCCCACACCACGCCTTGTGGTGCTCTGTGAAGGTATACCCGGGGAAGTGCCTCCGTACGGTTTAGCCTTCCCTAGACCCTGGTTCCCACTACCGTATTTACTATTTCCTCGATTGGAGCTACGCAAAGCGTCGCATCCTGCAGTATGATTTAAAACTGAAATAAAAATGACTCTTTTATATGAAGTCAATTTTAAAAGAAATTCACTAAATGTTAAGTAATTATTTTAAATTTTTATTATTTACTTACCAAGGACAATTAAAGACAAGTAAATCACTAGTTTCATCATTTTTAAGTGGCGTTTACCGCTCAATTAATCAATTATTTCTTATCTGTAAAACCGCAGTACAGTCTGCGCTTTTAAAAAATATACTAAATATATAGTTAAAAAATTAACAATACCTTACTTATATGTACATTTATATAGATTTATTTATTTTTGTTTACAGGTCGACGGTATTCTTTTTTCAGCTTGGCAAGTATTATTGCTATCTCTTTTTAATTTTGTGTCTCTGTAACTAGAGCTTTTAAGCTGTGGCGTTTAAGAACGCACCTTTTTATGATGCGTAAGCCGGAGCGCACGAGAGTTGGGAAAAAGAATATAGTCTGTGACACGGGACCTTTTTACTGCCGAAAATTTAACACGTAAAAATAATTTATAATGGTTTAATATCTAATATAATATAATTACTTAGAATTGTTTATGCCACTACAACAATAAAATTTCTATTGTTCCAACTGTGGTGTTAATTACATCAAACACGACTTTACGGCGAAATAAGGAAGGGACTCTATATGAACTCCCTCAAAGCCAGTTGTTGCTGTCATATTAAAGCCATGAGCTATCACTCAGGTATATTTTAAGTTGAGGGAGTTCATATAGTCCCTTCTTTATTTCGCGTTTTTTATGTAATTAACACCACAGTTGAATCAATATAAATTTTATTGTTGTAGCGGCATAAAGTAATTACATTAAATTAGTTATTATCACATTATAAATTATTTTTATGTTTTTCATATTTGGCGGTAATTTTTTTTTAAGAGATTTTATGACCTGCTAACTAGGACCTTTAAGTCATGTCTTATTTTACTTTATATTCTTAATTTTATGAAAAATGATAATATAGAGTGAAATGAAATGCAGATGATTAATTTGAGAGATTAATCAACTGGGATGAAATTTAATGAAATGAGATGATATGGGATGAAATACAATCGCAGTAAAATGGTGGTCATTTACTGAGATTTTTTCAGTGGACTTTTTGGAGGAACTCGAGAAGTTACGTCCAGCAGCTTTGTTTCATTTTCCCACATTTGTGCACTTTCACAGATATTAAACAGTTAATAAACCACTATTATTACACATTTAAACCTGAAGAAACACTAAATAGACAAAATAAAACAAATCACACAACTTCACTCCTCGCGTTCCCGCCAAAAAGTCATTTGGCGGTAAAAAGGTATCGTGTCACAGACTATATTCTTTTTCCCACATCTCGTGCGTTCCGGCTTACGCATAATAAAACGCCACAAAGTCTTTGGTAATAAATTAAAAAATACGCAATAGTGTTAGTTTTAGTTTTATTTCGTGGATGGATGAATGACCTTATGACTCATCTGATGTTTAGTGGATATGAGAATCGACAGATATCACAGTGTGAATGCCGTCACTTAACTTGAGGTACGAAGTCTCAATTGTGTAGTATGAATAGTATAAAGGTCTTTTAATCTATTTTTTAAAAACAGTACATTATTTGTACTATGTTCATCTTCCTACTTATTTTGAGAAACGCTTGTGTTGAGTTTGAAGGCTTGTGAATTGAAAACTTTCTAAATAGCGTTGGGTTATGAATTATAAAACTAGTTTCCTGTTTTAAGGAAAATAGATTCAGAGATTATTTCTCATTGATAAGCTTCAAGAAATATACTAAACGATCTCGCCATCACGTCAATTACACTGCAATATGTTCCATCGTCTGATTGTAGACAATATTGTGAAATGATCATTTTATGCACTTGATTCTGTTCGGCTTAATGTAAATTGATTAAAGATTAGGCTGTATGATACGATACCTTCGTCTTTCCTGTTAGAAAAATAGATCTACTACTATTGCAGTGCTGGCGTGTACTTCCGGTTACTACGTGTGACAATTGAAATGTCATAGAAATACTTTTTTTAAATAAAGCGAAATGAGATTACCGGCAATGGCGAAGTTACAATTTACGCTTTTTTTCGTATTGTTTCTGACGATACAAACCCTTAGTGCAAGCGTGGACACAATATCTAGTGATATAAAGTTAAAAAATGTCGATCGCACAGTAGATATATCGACCCAACTCGTAAAAGTAGTATCAAAAATAGTCTTGGAGAACAGTGGCAAATCGCCAGTAAAACATTTTCTTTTTGCGGTTGAAGAAGCTGCGAAGAATAATCTAGCGTTTATTGGAGCTAAAGACAGCAACAGTAAAGATCTTCGTCTCGCTGAAACCACTGTGAAAGGTTATGACTATGTTAAATTTTGGCGTGTGGAGCTCAAGGAACCCCTAAACGCCGGTGCCACAGTAAATGTTGTTGTCGAAACTGTGTTCACCAAAGCTTTACAACCATATCCGACAGCTATAACTCAGCAAGAAGACCAGTTTGTGAAATATGTTGGCAATTTGTATACATACTCCCCGTACTATACCTCCACACAAAAAACCAGCGTAATTCTAAATACAAAGACTGTTGAATCATTTACCAAGGTGAAGCCTTTCTCACAAGTTGATGGAACAATTATTTATGGACCATACGCTAATGTTGGGCCTTTCACTGAAAAGGAGCTCAGCATTCACTACAAAAACAATTCACCATTTTTGACTGTTACTCGCGTCGAAAGATTGATAGAAGTATCACATTGGGGTAATATTGCCATTGAAGAGGTAATTGAAATTGAGCATACAGGAGCCAAGCTCAAAGGTCCGTTTTCTAGGTATGACTATCAACAAGATCATCACAGTNACGCTAATGTTGGGCCTTTCACTGAAAAGGAGCTCAGCATTCACTACAAAAACAATTCACCATTTTTGACTGTTACTCGCGTCGAAAGATTGATAGAAGTATCACATTGGGGTAATATTGCCATTGAAGAGGTAATTGAAATTGAGCATACAGGAGCCAAGCTCAAAGGTCCGTTTTCTAGGTATGACTATCAACAAGATCATCACAGTGGTCCTGCTAGTGTACGTGCCTACAAGACCCTCCTTCCAGCTTCCGCATCAGACGTATACTATAGAGATACGAATGGTAACATCTCCACATCCAATATGAAGGTGAAAAAAGATTCAGTGGAGTTGGATCTCAGACCTAGATATCCTTTGTTTGGAGGCTGGAGAACACATTACACACTTGGTTACAATGTCCCTAGCTATGAGTATTTATATCACTCTGGTAATGAATACTTGCTGAAAATGAGGTCTATTGATCATATTTTTGATGATATGCAAGTGGATGAATTGGTTACAAAGATCATCTTGCCAGAGGGTTCTACAGGGATCAAGTTAAACATACCTTATAGTGTCACAAGATTGCCAGACAGTCTGCACTTCACATACTTAGATACTAAAGGTCGTCCAGTAATCTCGTTTATAAAGAAAAACATTGTGGAGAACCATATCCAAGATTTTCAAATCCGTTATACATTCCCACGTCTGCTGATGTTGCAGGAACCACTTTTAGTTGTTGGCTTCTTATATACATTGTTTTTGTGTGTTATTATTTATGTAAGATTAGATTTTTCAATTCACAAGTCTGAACATAAAGATTAAATTTATAATGAAACATATTATTCCCACTTCTAACACATCTAGTTAATGTGCATTTTTGGTGGTAATTATCTCAGTGTGGAGAAATAAAGAATTATTAATAAAGTAAATTTTTATTTCTGATTTAATGAAACAATATTTTAGAGTGTTTGACCTTCATGAAATAGACTTGTTGATCATCATTACATTGATTGCAGATAATATACAAAAAAGGGCAAAAATGTTTGTAATAAAGATGTTTGAAAGAATTAAGTTTGTTCTATATTAATCTCCCTCATCATCATATCACTCATGAACAGTATCTTAAATCTGGTAGCAGGCTTTATTGTCAGCCCTCACCTGTTTGTACAGGAGTAGGAACTGAATAAAATGGTAAGTTGTACTGTTGGTTGATAGTTTCATTTGAATTACCTAGTTTTTTTTTTTCCTACCTAAGCTGATAGCCTTGAGAGGCTATATCACCGTCGCCTTAACTAGTAGGTGAGCTCACGGGGCTCAAACCTGATGACGTTGCTAACACGGACCCTAGTGAGAGCCGTGCTTCGCAGAATCTACCACCGGATCGGAAACGACCCACTGAGAAGATCCGGCGAGAAACTCAATGGGCTGTGTCAGAGACACAGGTTTCTAGTATTTCAGAACATGCATGTTTCAAATAACGCAACTGACTTCACTTAGTATGTCAATGTTAGTAGTCACTACTACCAGGTAGTATATTCAGTGTGAGTATACAAGACTAAGGGTTCAGGGTTATGTGGGTATTCATCTCCCTTGCATACTTACTCTAATAAAATATACACATTGGAATTTCAATTCTGTAATATCACAGTGTATTGAATTAGAATCTACCTAGAACTACCTAGAACTAGAATCAATTCAGCCCAATTGGAAAACCATTCTGGAGTTTTCTGTCTGCTTCATTTACTTACTACTATCAAAGCAATCGCTAAAATGACGCAAAATTCCAGAAAACTACATTATAGTAGTAGGTTTAAAATATATACTGAATTCCTTTTTACTTAGAGCTCCCAAATACCTTTAAAAGTTTTGTAATTATTATTATTAAATAGTAGTTGTAAATAAATTTGTTATTCTTTTTCAATAAAGAGATTATTACCGGTTCTATAATTTTCAACTTACATATCTGTCAGATTATCGAAGTCCTCATATCGCAATATTGGTGCATTAGCTCGCATTAACCTAGTGATGTTTTAGCACCAAACAAACCCTAACGGGTCAAATGACCCGTTTGAACTTTTGCATTGAAAATGCATGTACCATTTTATTGCTTTTGCACATTTGACTTCTTGACTTTCTTACCAATTAATCTACAGTTATTATACTGTTTTTTATTGTTATCTACCCACTATGGTAGAAATAGGTACCAGTAAGTGTTGGTATGATTAGTGCTAAAGGCGCCATTAAACTATTTAATATTATGAGAACCGTGACCTCAATTGCCCATTTATGTAGTAAAAATTGTACTTTCGCATTATATTACGGTTTCGTGAAAAGTTAACAAAGAATATTTGTCTAGTTTAGTAATTTTTTTTTATTGCTTAGATGGGTGGACGAGCTCACAGCCCACCTGATGTTAAGTGGTTACTGGAGCCCATAGACATCCACAACGTAAATGCGCCACCCACCTTGAGATATAAGTTCTAAGGTCTCAAGTATAGTTACAACGGCTGCCCCACCCTTCAAACCGAAACGCATTACTGCTTTACGGCAGAAATAGGGAAGGTGGTGGTACCCAACCGCGCGGACTAACAAGAGGTCCTACCACCGGTAATTACTCAAATCATAATTTTGCGGGTTTCATTTTTATTACACGATGTTATTCCTTTACCGTGGAAATCAATCGTGAACATTTGTTGAGTACGTATTTCATTAGAAAAATTGGTACCCGCCTGAGATTCGAACCCCGGTGCATCGCTCAACACGAATGCACCGGACGTCTTATCCGTTAGGCCACAACGACTTCAAAAATGAATATTGTTTCCCATTAGAAGAATCCACTTCGATAAAGCGGCACGACACGAGAATCCTCACATCGTGGCCGCCGGGAACTACATAGCCGATCCTGCGGACCAAATGGTAAACAGTCGACGTCGCCCAAAACACGTAATCCGGATCCTCCCGATCCACTAACGGTGCTTTTTGGTACCACAAGCACCGCTTATCATTCTCATCGAACCCGTCACTTGCGACGAAGGGCTCGGCGAGTAAATCAACCCACACAGCCCACTGAGTTTCTCGCAGGATCTTCGTAGTGGGTCGCCTTTCCGATCCGGTGGTAGATTCTGCGAAACACGGCTCTTGCTAGGGTTCGTGTTAGCAACGTCGTCAGGTTTGAGCCCCGTGAGCTCACCTACAAGCTCGGCGAATCTAGAATAACGCCTCGAGGTTACTAGAACAGCAAGTAAAAAAAAAATTGAAGAATCTGTCCAATAAATTTATATTTAGGTGCACCGCTCACGTGGACGCCGCCGTAAAGTCGTATAAAATATTCTTAATTTACTTAGGTTTTAAAATAGTTCCGAGCTTCATGTTTCAAGCGAAAATAAACCATACATATAAACTAATAAAATATATATTTAAAATTCACTTATTTATACCTAAATAGGAAGAAGACTACATCAAGCAAATGTAGATATAAATTTGTTTCAAAGTGAGTAATTTTAATTCATTATGGTGAATATCAGCTTACTACACAATTACATATTTTGAGCATCAAGTTTTCTTTTTTGCTAAATAATATATAGTGACATTTTATAAGTATGACTTGTTTAGTTTTTTTTGCTAAAATAAAATTAAACTTTCTAGGTGATAACACGATACTACTTATGGAGATCTGCTTCACATGCGATAGTTAAGTAGTAATGAATGACAATAATAAAAATATTGGCAAATACATAAATACTATTAATAAAAAACGATTGATTTAGAACTTTATACACCATATTCGGAGAGTTTAAATCTGAGTACAACGGGAGCACTGGTGCAAGGCAATATGGCAAGTTCTGTGACGACGGCGGTGATGAGGCACGGAGGCGTGACGTCATAAGTCAGGTTCAGCGGTGTTAAGTTCAAATTCGATCTCCAATCTTTCAGTGGTGAATTATCATCCGATTTTTCCAGAAGATCGTCGGGGTCTCCTGATAATAAAAACAAATTAGGATTAGTTCTTATAATTTCTACATTATTATTTAGTAAATACAAATATGTATAAATAATAAAAATATCATTAACGGTTTAATCGCGTTTATTATTTTATTTATTTTGTAATTAAACCGTAAAAGTAGTTTTAATTGTATTTACGACCTCGAGATGAACACAAAGGAAAATTATCTAAGTAATTTTTTTAGTACATGATCCGATGGCACGAAGGGAAAATATGGCGATGCCCTGGTACCAGCAAAAAATACTTGCAAGTATGAAAGTATATTAATATGTCATGTGCTGAAGTCGGATGCTCAAAAAACTTGAAAATTTACATGAAAGTACTGCACAGGAAAATGATTCATATCATATTAAGAATAAAAAACACAATCGGATTTGTGAATAAAAAATACTTTAAATTGCAACGTTTCTTTTATTTATACGATTTTGTTCCTTATTCGACATGGAAGAGGTGAAGCTTATAATAAAAAATATGAATAATCGCAAGGGTCAACCGCTCCGCAGTACAATGGAGCAGTCTCACCCTGGGGGAACCACCTGCATTTTTGAAATTACGTGCAGCGATATCTTTTGATAACAAACTACATAGAAATAATTGTAAATCATCTTTTATAGTATGAGGTAGCGCCATCTGTGAATTGATATTTTAACTTCACGTTTCATTTTTTCGTTTGATCGAGTTTGAAATCACATCACAACGACTTCAAAAAAAAGCTTGCACAGACACGAGCACGAAGCTCGGTTGTGCGGTGTCTGTGTACCTATCTGGTTGTGCATGAAGGCGTCGGTGTAGAGGCTGTCGATGAACTTGTGCGTGTGGCAGGCGACGAGCACGGGGCGGTTGCGTGCGCGCGCCGCCAGCGCCACGCCCGCCGTGCCCGCCGCGCTCACCACCGCGCCGTTGGCCAGCAGCGCGCCCGCGCCCAGCACCACCTTGCTCACCTGCACACCAACACGCACACCGACACGTCATCACATATATTTAAAAAATCTTTTTATATTACTTTTCTTTTATTACTTAGATGCTTCTTTAATTTTCAATTTTTTTGTATTTAGGTATGTTCAGAATAAAAAATGCTTCATAACAATTAAGTCAATCACTCATTTATTGATAATATTATATAATATTCATTAATATTTTTCATTCTACGCATTTGTTAACGTTAACACGGATGACAATTTAAATAGGAACTTTTTTTTAGAAATCATGCTTCTTTTGTTTTTAATAATGTTCTAATATCCAGTTAGTTTTCTTTTATTATAAACTGATTAAATAAAATTGCCGAATTTCAACACGCATTACTGGAAAAATAGCAAACAAGTTAGAATTCGAATTTCGAACCAGTGAAGGTGAATGAGATTTGGGGTAGTTTTTAATGTGTGTTGTAGTTGTGTGTAACAGTGTTTACGAATATATAGTTATAAGACCATGTGCCTGTTGTCATGACAACAAATTTACTGTAATTATAATTACGGTAGCACTAAGATTATGAGAATTAAATCAAATAACTCGCTTTTGGTCCCAAATTTGAAAACGACCTCAATATGTGAGCTTAAAATATTACAATTAACAAAAAATATAGAAATTTGTGTTTAATATACACTCTTTGTGTAATTAGTCTGAGCGTGAGTGTAAGGTGTGTGTGTGTGTGTGTACTGAAAAATATAAAAAATATTTTTAAATGAACATGAAGGATAGCGTAGCGTGGGTAGGCCTCCCACAAGATGGACCGACAAACTATTGAAGTTCGCAGGGATTCGCTGGATGCAGACAGCGCAGGAGCGGTCTTTGTGGCGAGGCTTGGGGGAGGCCTATGTTCAGCAGTGGACGTCTATGGGCTGATAAGAAGAACACGAAGGAGCAAAACTCACGGTCTTCATGACGTAGTTGACGGCGGTGAAGTCTACGTAGGTGCAGGGCAGGCCGCGCGCGCACAGCCGCCGCAGCATCTCCGCCGCGTCCGGGGACACGCGCGAGCCCACCACCAGCGTGCGGAACTGCAGCCCCGCCTCCCACGCCTCGCACAGTATCTGCTCGATCAGCGACGAGCTGGGGAACGAACGTCGAGTTGTAGTCGTCGCGGCCTAACGGATAAGACGTCCGGTGCATTCGTATCGAGCGATGCATCGGTGTTTGAATCCCGCTGGGAGGTAGCAATTTTTTTAATGAAATACCTACTTAACAAATGTTCAAAACAACGTTTGCCGGATCAGCTAGTATTATGTATATATTCTAACGCCATTACACCCATAATACAGACCATCCCCCCAAATAAGCGAAACAAAGTAACTATTATCTATACTAATATTATAAAGAGGAAAGATTTGTTTGTTTGTTTGTTTCGAATAGGCTCCGAAACTACTGGACCGATTTGAAAAATTATTTTTCCATTAGAAGCCGACATTGTCCCTTATGAACATAGGCTACTTTTTTTTTTTTTTTTTGTTTCATGTGTGTTTTAATGTTTCCGAAGCGAAGCGAGGGCGGGTCGCTAGTTACATATAAATCCCTAATAAGAATCAAAACGCCTAAGATGATAAAACATAAGATTAAAAAAAAATACAGACCATCCATAAGTAAGTATAGTGTCGCCATTGGAGATCTTATTTCTGACGGCGATGCTGATCGCTTCTCCCGCCATTTCGATCTGTTCTCTGATGTAGCGATCGATCTCTTCTTGAAGGGTTTTTTTGGCCTGTAGAATTAAAATAGATATAGAAGTTGTTATAAGTATGTGAATAGTTAGGAAATAAGTTGAAATTGATAATTTTAAAAAAATTGTAACAGTTCGAACTTTCNCGCCATTGGAGATCTTATTTCTGACGGCGATGCTGATCGCTTCTCCCGCCATTTCGATCTGTTCTCTGATGTAGCGATCGATCTCTTCTTGAAGGGTTTTTTTGGCCTGTAGAATTAAAATAGATATAGAAGTTGTTATAAGTATGTGAATAGTTAGGAAATAAGTTGAAATTGATAATTTTAAAAAAATTGTAACAGTTCGAACTTTCAGTAGCTATTTCACAACAGCTTATCTAATCATCTTAGAAAAGTTCAGTATTTGTTGGTTAGAACAACATTTTGAATTTAAGTTTTTTTTTTATTGCTTGGATGGGTGGACGAGCTCACAGCCCACCTGGTGTTAAGTGGTTACTGGAGCCCATATAGACATCCACAACGTAAATGCAAATATAGTTACAACGGCTGCCCCACCCTTCAAACCGAAACGCGTTACTGCTTCACGACAGAAATAGACAGGGTGGTGGTACCCACCCGCACGGACTCGCAAGAGGTCCTACCACCAGTAAAAAACTGCCCTTGTAGGCAGACGAGCATACGGTCCACCTGTTGGTGAGTGGTGACCGTCGCCCATGGACTTCAGCAATGCCAGGGGCAGAGCCAAACCGCTGCCTCTCGAAAATTCCTACGTAACCGCACGCGCCAAAACTGCACGCACGCCACGCTCAAGCATCGCTTTGCTCTCACTAATCTGCTTGTTTTAATCCGTGCACCTCCTCCTACCTGCATCCGATATACCGTTCTCCGAGTACTCACATCGAACTCGTCGACGTTGTTGGGTAGCTGCGCGAGGTGGTGCCGGAAGAACTTGACGGCGTTGATCTGCGAGGCGCAGGGCTCGCGCGTCGTCCACAGGAACTCCAGGCTGGAGGCCAGGTGCGACTCCAGGCCGCGGGAGAACTCAGTCTTCGCTGGCAGAACGTAGTCCCTCACCATCTGCACGGGATAAATCAAAGATGCTCTTGTAGCTCTTGTCATTGGTTTAAAGGGTTGAGTAACCGTTGTAACTATACTAGAACTTATACTCAAGGTGGGTGGCGCATTTACGTTGTAGATGATGGGATAGAACTGACAAGGCTGTATGGGCTTAGATCCCCTTGCCTTGCCTAATAAAGATACGCTTTTATTAGCTTCAGACGTATGTATGTTTGTAACGGAATCTTTGAACATGATTTTGACCCCCTTCAAAATGTCGGATTAACTCGAAACGAAATTTGGTATAGTTATTAAGGACCGATGACAATTCAATAAAAAAAAAATAGAAAAAATTTAAATCCAACTAAAAAATAAATAATAGTTTAAAAAAACTTAAAAAAAACCGCTTTTATAGAAAATCCCACTAAAAAATAGACAATAAATCTTAATAAATATGAAATAAAAGCGTATATTTTTTGTTTTTTTAAACTATTATTTTTTTAGTTACATGCTTAGAATTCAACCTAAAGTATTAACATACTGTTACGTCGGCATTATTAACGCCATCTATCGCCGAATAGCAGAAACGAATATCAAAGGAACTAGTAACATTGAGAACTCTCGAGAAATACAACGCCATCTATTGTGTGATAGTGGAAATACACATCGTATATTCGACTCGCCCAGAATAATCTCGATAAACCTAGGGATATTGCATCGACTATAAAAGCGCTGCAGGGATGGCAGTTAGTAATCGAATCTACTTGCGAACTAAGCGAAATAGCGAACGAATCACCTGAAGCGAAGCGGAAGAAGTGAATTGAGAATTTTAAAGTGTTCGTTAAGTGTTCTAAGTGTTAAATAGAGTTTTGATTTGCACTTTCATTTAATTTATAGTGTAATTGAATAGTGAACGTTTTTTTGGATTGTAAGCCCGCGGGTTAAGTGCCACTGTTCTGCCTGTTTCTGTGATAAGGCAGTCGTGCGTTCCGATTTGAAAAGCGAGACGGTCGTTCTACCACCGAGACCTCACGTCCGGAGGTGTGTTACAGCATTCACCCTCTGATGTCTATGCGTACAGGGCGTAAACTACAAAAACGTATTTTTTTAAGGGATTTTATGACCTAGTAACTAAGACCTTCAAGTCATGTCTTATTTTAATTTATATTCTTAATTTTATGAAAAATGATAATATGGAGTGAAATGAAATGAAGATGACTAATTTGAGACATTAATCAACTGGGATGACATTAAATGAAATGAGATGATATGGGATGAAATATAATATCAGTAAAATGGTGGTCATTTACTGAGATTTTTCAGTGGACTTTTTGGAGGATCCTGAGAAGTTACGTCCAGCGGCTTTGTTTGATTTTCCCACATTTGTGCACTTTCACAGATATTAAACAGTTAATAAACCACCATTATTACACATTTAAACCTGAAGAAACACTAAATAGACAAAATAAAACAAATCACACAACTTCACTCCTCACGTTTCCGCCAAAAAGTCTTCAAAAAAACGTATTTTCAAGAATGTCCACGAATTGCGATTTAGCATTACATCAAGATACATACTTTGTTGAGGGCGTCCAGCAGAGCGATGCATCTGGCGTTCGATCCCTTCACCACTCGCGACGACAACTGGACTCCAAGTTTCACGATGGCGGGGTGTAGGCTGTAAGTTAAGGATACCTTGAAAGTCACCTTAAATTTTTATTTATATTTTTTTTTTATTACAGCGAAGGCAGCTTGCATCTATACAAGTTCCGAACATAAACATTTGGGCTGTCGGTCTACCGAGCAATGTCGCCCGCTCGGTGGAAGATTTTCCCTTTGTCGTCAAACCTCCCAAAATGTCATATTTGGCTGGTCGTTATTGTATATGGTATGGTTCGGTTACTTATTTTGATCCCAAATAACATCACGCGATGTAAACATCTATCTGGCACATTGCGTAGGTATATGTACAAGATTTTTTTTTCCATTTTAAGGACACATGTATTTTTTTATCTAAATAAAATGGTCATATAACAATCGTTCTCGAACGTTCCGATTTATTGAGAAGCAACTTGTTTCAAGAGAATAGATGACAATTAACCGGACAATTCATATCAGTTGACCTAAAACAATTTAAAGTGGATTGTTTTGTTTATTCCATCGCATCGTTTGTCCTAGTGATGAGATGCCCTGACTGTTGCGCTGCAGAGTCCCAGTTCGATTCCTGCTCGGACTCAGCACCTTTGCTATATGCACTTAGTATTTGTGGCTTGTTGTTGTCTGTTATGGCTTGTCTTTCATTAAACAAGGTTTATGGAGCCTACCGGTCACCGTCCTCGCCGCACCCTACGCTTGCAATAAAGGGCTCGACGAGTAAATTAACTCATAGACACAGCCCACTGAGTTTCTCGCCGGATCTTCTCAGTGGGTCGCGTTTCCAAGCCGGTGGTAGATTCTGCGAAGCTCTGCTCTTGCTAGGGCCAGTGTTAGCAACCGTCCCAGTTTGAGCCCCGTGAGCTCACCTACACTCAAGACGAAGCTCAAATGTGGAGCCTACTCAGCTGTAGACAAAAGCTTGGCTGTGGTACGTGGTGTCGCTGACATCTATGAACGATGGTAACCACTCACCATGCGAAGGCCACAGGCTCGGCTGCCTATTATGTCAATAAAGAAATATTAAAACAGCAAACTGCAATGATGATGATATTGTGTTCATCACTGCCAAAACGTAGCGAGGCAGTTGAACTTGCATCCCACAGATATCCATTTACTTACAGCACTTACTTGGAATTAATGGGTATCTTCTTCAAAGGATTCTTGTCAAACTCAGTGTAAAGATGCTGAAACCAGTTGAAGCGCTGTGCGAGCTGCAACTTTGTTTTCGACTTCTCCAAGGTTTTTGATTTAATAACTTTTTCCTGTAATCAAAAAAACATCGTAAGCACCACATTGATAGCCCCGCTCGTACCTGCAATATTGTTTTATAATCTACTTAGTCTGGCCATAAATACTGTTATAATTAAAAATAAACAAAATATTACATTTGAATTTGGAATCTGTCATTTTTATATGATTGCTCATTGAGTTTTCTCATTTTGGCGCCAATACATTGTACAATATTTTCCGACATTAAAATGGAGTGGGGTGATAAAGAGAACCGAATCGCTGTGATTGCATTACACAAAGTAGGTATGAAGCCAAATGCAATTTTTAAAACTCTGCATACGCTTGGTATTAGTAAAATGTTTGTGTACCGGGCTATTAATAGGTGCAATGAGAGCTCTTCTGTTTGTGACAGAAAAAGATCTGGCCGTCCACGTAGTGTTCGTACGAAAAAGGTGGTCAAAGCAGTAAGGGAAAGAATTCGAAGAAATCCTGTCCGAAAGCAAAAGATAGTGAAGCCCCTTAACAACACCATGTTCAATAATCAAGAATGATCCTTCCAGCAAGACTCGGCGCCAGGTCATAAACCTCGGTCTGCGCAGTCTTGGTTGGAAACGAACGTTTCGGACTTCATCAGAGCTGAAGACTGGCCGTCGTCTAGTCCCGATCTTAATCCGCTGGATTATGATTTATGGTCAGTTTTAGAGTACGGCTTGTTCTAAACGCCATAATAATTTGGAGTCCCTTAAACAATCCGTATGATTGGCAGTGAACATTTTTCCCATGGAAAGAGTGCGTGCTTCTATTGATAACTGGCCTCAACGTTTAAAGGACTGTATTGCAGCCAATGGAGACCACTTCGAATAAGCTTTTTATACTTTAAACTGTTTTATATTTATGTATTAAACTAACACACTGTAAAAGTAATAAATGTTTTTTGCAATAGAATTTTTTTTCCTTTGTCTCAATATTTATGGCAAGACTAGGTATATGGAAATTTCACAATTTACAATAATAATACTTGAACATAACATTGTCAATAGAGTCTACACTAGGCCGTCTGTATTTTAAGAAATATAATTATGAAGTGTATATATAACACAGTTAGAGAATTCGGAACTGACCTGAGATGAAGAACAAATGGATTTTAATTAATGAGAATATTATGCTGCATGATGAACCTATTGGCCATTTAGAATCTATTCAGGCAATCATGCTTTTTGGTTTGAAGGGTGGACAGCCATTCTAGAAAACAATTGTTATTTTGACCTCACATCCTAAACCTTAGGACCTAAGGTGACTGGTGGCATTCATTTCCCATCTCTATCAGCTTTAATCACCACTCAACCAGACCTTCAAGTGAGCTGTAAGCTTGTTTACTAATTTATGCTATAAAACAAAATTCACTATTAACATAATGTGAATGAGCTAGTGGTACTGATTGTGTATTTTATGACCTGGTATCTAAGACCTTTAGGCCAAGTCTTATCTTAATTTATATTCTTATTTTTATGAAAAATTATAATATGCGCTGAAATGAAATGAAATGAGATGATATGGGATGAAATATTATTATAATCTCTGTAAAATGGTGGTCATTTACTGAGACTTTTTCAGTGGATCCCGAGAAGTTACGTTCAGTAGCTTTGTTTGATTTTTCCCACATTTGTGCACATTCACAGATACTAAGCAGTTAATAAACCACCGTTATTACACATTTAGACCTGAAGAAACACTAAATAGACAAAATAAAACAAATCACACAACTTCACTTCTGGCGTTTTGGCCAAAAAGTCCTGATTATGTATCTATCTATAATTTCAAACTACCCTCATTTAGCTTACAAAATGTGATGTCTGGGATGGTGAACTATAAGAATGGACATTGCATTAAGTTCAATCTCCGCTATTCGATTTAGTGTCCTAAAAAGCAGTTTAGGTGTTAAAGGCAATTTAAAAGTCTCAAAATTACCTCTTTCTTCGGAACATCCACATTTACTGTAGGAGCTTCAAGTTTAGGCTTGACTACTTTTTGTTCGGCAGCTTGTTTGGCAGCTCTCTGAGCCTCCTGTTTGGCGCGTCGTTCAGCCCGAAGTTCTGCTTTACTCTTGCCTGTCTCTTCTTGCTACAATATCAATATTGTTAGTAATGTCGACACTGTTTTCGAAACTATATCTATTAAACGAATATTCAAAAGACAATATATTATCATAGTTACTATGAGTTTATATATTGCAACATAATATGGAGTTTATATACCTGTTATAAATTTTATTGTTGTATTTTGTTATTCAAGTATGGTAAACAAATTTTAAGCCTCTTGTTCTAAATAAGCTTACATCAAATATAATTTCAATTTCTTTGGGAATGTCATTCAAGGAATTTAGAAGCAATGTTAATGTAGTTTAATATCGAAAAAGTATGACTATTTCATCCACATAATTACCTTTTTACCTCCCAAATCCAAGGCACTTACTTTTGTCGTAATTTCATTAACCTCCTTGGCAACACTAACTATGTTTTTTAAAGTTTCAACAACATCTTTTACAGTCATATCTTCATTTTGTTTCACAGAATCATCTTCTTTAAGTTCTTTTTTTACAGAGCTTTGCACATTACTTTCACCATCGGCAGCTCCTTTTTTCTTTAACTGTTTGGCAGATTTCTTGGCAGCTCTATCTGCTTTGATCTGTTCTCTACTAGTACTTATATCTACAGCATTAGGATTTATTACAACAGATTTGTCTACTTCATCTGTGCTTTCTACTTTAGGTTTAGAATTTATATTGTTTTCATTAAGATTCTCTATTTCTTTTGTCAGTTGAGGATTTTCAGTGGTCTTGTTGTTTACTTTTAGTTTGGCAGCTTTTTTTGCCTGTCGAGCAGCTTTAATTTCATCTCTAGACTTTGGTGGGATTTCATTAGAAGACATCTTTTGTAATATACTTTCGTCAAAATCTTTTATGACTACTGAGCGGAGGGCATCCTCTACTTTGTATTCTTGTTTATTATTTTCAATTACTGCTATATGTCCTTGTTCAGGATTATTTTTTGTTTTGTTTTGTATTTTATTTATCGTACAAAGGATATCTACACAGTCTGTTTTGGCAAATCTTAATCTATTTCTTCTAATTCTTCTCCTTTGAGTTGCAGTGAAAGGTTTCTCCGGTTGAACCAGATAATTTTCAGCATCTACCTACCATATCAACATATTTATTAGTTATCATTCAAATGTGTTTTCTTTCATTTATTTAAATTGCAAATTAAGTGCTGTTGTTACATATTTACTAGAACATAGATATGTGAATGTCATAATCTCTATTTGAGTCATGAGGTCAAAATTTCAACTATGATGGTTCTTTCCATATAATCATTATAATAATATGGATATATTCTTTGAAATATGCACTTCTCAATAGGGAAAGTGCACTATACTTAAAATAGACATAGCAACATTGACAACATTAAGCAACAGTAATAAAAGCTCAAAATTAATTCAGAACAGTACAAGTCTTGTGATTCATATTCTGATATTACATTACACCGTGATCTAATGGTTTAAAAAAAAAATTTTTTTATTGCTTTATTTCACCAAGTGTTAAATGAAGATAAAATTGGATAAAATTGAATATGAAAATAAGAGATAAACGTAATATATAAACTAGAACCACTTCGCAAAACTAAATGGTGATACAAAATAATTATTACTTTTAATGGTTAGTACATTAATTTAATAAGTAATGGTATTTGTTTAATCATACAAAGATTTTGTATACCACAGGAATTAGTAAATGCCACTAATGAATTATTACATTGAGAAACAAACAACACTTCAAACATAAATTACTTTCTATTGGCTTATCATCAGTTCACAGTAAGAATATATTCAGAAAATTCAATTTTAAGATTATGTTTCCAAGTACTTAAGAGCATTCTTTTTGTTTTGTCTATAGGTTCTAGTTACTGGTATCAGATGGCTGTGGAAAAGTTTACACATCTAAACTAATATCTAAAAAAATTCCATTCCTATTTTACTCAGGGCATTCAATTAAGCTAATTTAGGAACTACACAGTAAGCTACGCGTGATCTAGTCTACTGGTTAGTGGTTATCGATGCAATAAAACAAATACAAAAAATAGCTACTATATTGCACTCTGTAGCTCTAATATTGTATCATGCCAGAAAATAATTTACTACTTATTGTAAAAAATCTTGATTAATATGATGATATATTTTAATAAATTAAAAACAGACATGAGTTTATTTTTTACTTTTGATTGTAATAAAAGTTGATATAGTTACAAAACCTAACCTCAAAGTGCAATATTTCTATTCATAAATCGTATACAAAATCTGTACATTTAAGACATTACCATTTTTTCTGTTCCTTGGAAAGCTATAAAAGATATTAAAATTAGATATTTCATTTCAGTTATTAGTTATCCTAGTCCACGTAAGCGAATTGTGCATATTAATAAAATGCATTTGTTTGAACAATACTTTTGCAGACTTAAAAAATTCACACAAACGTTTAAAGATGCGTACCGTGTTTAATTTACTTACCAATGAGGTATGTTAAGGTCACAAATGATCAATCTATTGCATATAAACACTGTAATATTTATTAATTGACAGGTTATCTATCTATCTATCTCTTAGGTTTATGGCGTTTCCTTTTAGATTTCGCCAATGTCAAGTGTATTTAATACTCTGCTTTCTATAGCGGGCTTCGTGAACGAGCAAGGTCACAGATATTCACTAAGAATTATGTGAGTAGCTAAGAATGTTTGATGACAGAATCTCTGTTGATTTACTTAAAACAATATACATACATTGACAGGTTACGAAAAATCCGAAGAAATTGAAGTTTAAATGTTGAAACTTCAATATTTTTCTGAACATTATGTGTATTATCTACGCTCTGAAGCAGTGCTGTCAGATGTCCGTGTGAATTTCACCCCGACTTCTTTCGAAAACATCTGGAAATGAGCTTTTTAAAAAAAAAAAACCCAATACAGTTTTTACTTATTTTAAAGAAGAAATAAAACCCCAAAAGTACATATTCTTTTATTTTTTAATCAATAAACAATTATTACAATCATATTCACTTTTCTTATTATTATTTAAAGCATACACGTAAAGATTTTTAATATGTCCGATGTGGGAACAAAATTTATGCATCCATTTCGCAGTGAATATCGAATCCTGAGAACCGCTTCCGCCGTTTCTATTGCCATTCGGTTGCGTAATTTGTCCTTTATAATATTGACTTGTGAATAGTATAGTAGACTCAAAAAACCTCCGATACTCCCAACTAACTTTTCCCCCCGAATGTCTCCCCAAATAATCTTACTACTGCAAAGCACTGCGCTTATCCATCATGCGTGCGTTTTCAGCGATCTTTTTCGTTATTATCTGGTTTATGAATGAACTCCCCTTGACGGTGTTTCTAGAATATGTCCATCATTAATGTTTTAAAATACCTAAAGAAATACTTTAGCGCGTGGCACGTTTGGCTATAGTCAGTGACAACTAAGCATTTGCAATATGTGTCCATTTCGAAAAAGCGGCACGACACGAGAACCCTCTCATCGTGGCCGCCGGTAATTACATTCGCGATCCTGCGGATCGAATAGTAAACAGTCGACGTCGCCCAAAACACGTCATTTCGAATCCTCCCGATCCAATAACGGTGCTTTTAGGTACCCCAAGCACCGGTCATCGTTCTCGTGGAACCCGTCACTTGCGACGAAGGGCTCGGTGAGTAATTTAATCCACAGACAGACACAGCCCACTGAGTTTCTCGCCGGATCTTCTCAGTGGGTCGCATTGCCGACCCGGTGGTAGATTCTGCGAAGCACTACTCTTGCTGGGGTTAGTTTTAGCAATGTCGTCAGGTTTGAGCCCCGTGAGTAGATATGTGTCGTTCGTTCAATTTTAGAGATTCAGATCAGTACTGACCTGTTGACAAAATGATCCGGTTCGTACGACCCGTTCAGTCGAACGAACGACTAAGCGAGACGGGCGCGGGGCGAGACGCGGCAACCCGAAATGACCCGAATGACCGTCGTACTCGTATGGTTCTTTTCTTCTGATTCGTAGGTTTTGTGTTNCTAAGCGAGACGGGCGCGGGGCGAGACGCGGCAACCCGAAATGACCCGAATGACCGTCGTACTCGTATGGTTCTTTTCTTCTGATTCGTAGGTTTTGTGTTAAACGAGTCGATTTAGTGAACGACTCATATTTTTTGAAGTGACCCTATCGTTCGCGCGGAATTTGAGACCCGGGTCGTTTGACTCGTTCGTTCGCGAACGACACATTTCTACCCGTAAGCTCGCCTACTTGTTAGGGTTACGCTGAAATGGCCTCCCAAGACCATCAGCTTAGGTAGGAAAAAAACAAAGTGTAGGCAAGGTAGTTAAGTCTTAAATATGTATTAAGTGTATTATTTTGGTAGTTATGTTTGGACCTCGCTCTACTTAGTTGCAGTCTAATCATAAAGAGTGGAAAGAGGGGTTACAAGTCAGATTATGTTATATTTTTAGCTCAGTTTGTTGGATAATCTAGTGTTTCAGAAATTATTTGACACCTCAGATTAGGGATGTGAACCGATTACAATTTCTGGCTCCGGTTTATTACCGGTTTTTTTAAGGTATTTTTAGGTTTTTTCCATAAAGGCTAAATAATCACTAAATAAAACAAATTTACGCGCGAACGAAGAGTTTTCTTCATACAATTAATTGGGTGAGCAGATTTTATATAGGCTTTTAATGATCATATTTAAATTATCCAATAATAATAAAAAAATTAATTTAATACAATAGTATTAAATCAAAATTTTGATGCAAGAAGCATAGTTGGTCCACTGCGTCATCCAGAAGCCTGCTCCTTCTGGATGTTAGCACGTACCCCGACGTCGAAAACATACGTTCGGAAGCTTCGATCAACAATAGTAACTACTTACTATTGTTGATCGAAGTTCGGAAGGCACAGAAGTTGCTGGGACTGATAGGTATTTAAATGCTATTTTGTTTAAAGGCCTTAAATGAGTATAGCTCATCCAAAAAGTGCCAGCAATTTCGGTGTGGTTTCCTGTGGCGGCTTCAGTCTCAATATATAAGTACATTCGCACTATATTCATTACGGCCGCCGTGGCGTTCAGAATATCTCGTTTTCGCGAATGCAAAAAATCCAGAATACCAGGCTTTTTAAAACTGTTTGTGGTTTCTTCTGGCTGTTCCGATAATAAAGCGAGAGTAGAAAATTCTTTAAGAAGATTTCCCAGTTCACGACGCACCATCTCTTTTGCAGACAACACGTGCTCTGGTTGGCGAAAGCCATTTCTGAGTGTTGGGTGCAGATATGTGGATATTTGGGTCACGGTCCTCATTTCGTACGCTAAGAGTCTACCAACCATATTGTGGTTATTGCACTGTAGTTTTTAAATGTAATGCACGGTAATTTGAGTCTGAAACACGTTTTTTTTAGGTAGCTTGTATATTTGATCTGGTAGCACTGGTGTGAACTGTGAATGTAACGCGTAATTAAAAACCGGTATTCTTAAATAAAAACCGGTGTTTATCGGTATGTATAAAAACCGGTTTTTCTCCGGTTTTCTTCGAACCGGTTTACATCCCTACCTCAGATGTCGCGGCGTGAATACCGTCAACTCCTTGAGATATTAGGTTAAAGTGTCAACTAATTTGAAACTTTTTCTAATGAAATACGTACCTACTCAACAAATTTTCACGATTGACTTCCACGGTGAAGGAATAACATCGTGTAATAAAAATCAAACCCGCAAAATTATAGTTTGCGTAATTACTGATGGTAGGACCTCTTGTGAGTACTCACGGGTAGGTACCACCACCCTGCCTATTTCTACCGTGAAGCAGTAATGTGTTTCGGTTTGAAGGGTGGGGCAGCCGTCGTAACTCTACTGAGACCTTAGAACTGATATCTCAAGGTGGGTGGCGCATTTACGTCGTAGATGTGTATAGGCTCTAGTAACCACTTAACACCAGGTGGGCTGTGAGCTTGTCCATTCATCAAAGCAATAAAAAAACTAGATCTTGTAACGACTTTGGCGGCGCCGCGGCGTCTTCAATTAGCTCTGCAATTTTTTTGTTTTTGCTGGTGGAAGTAGTTCAGTTCAAGGCGGCGTTATTAATCCATTCCAATATTTAGCCTCGTTTGAGCGCACCATACACTATATTATTTTATTATAGAATTCTTATATGTATTAGCATGTTAAAAAATAAATCTTGATCTATGATAACTTAATTGCATAATTCCAAATGTACAGAATATACCGACAGAGGACGCGCGAAGGCCTAGCCTAATTATTTTTGTATTTGCTGAGTAAATTATTAATCAAAGAGTAAATTATTTTGTATAATAAATTTTAGCAAGGCCAGCATTGTTATAGAATATAACAACTGTTTAACTAACATATTATCGTACCTTGTTGAATTAATACCTAAATAAAAAATCTTGAAGAGTACAAAGAGTACAAAGCTCGTTATTTAAATTTTTTGTCTGTATTATTACACTTTCTTCTTGCTTCGGTTTCCTCAATAATGAGGGTCGTGACCACCTCCTCGCAACAAGAGTTTATTACGGACCATTCCACGTCATTTTCCCCGAGTGTAGAGCATCGTAAACTGTGGTGTCGAGGGTAGTGCGGATCTGGTCAGTCCGTGTCGGGCCTCTACCTCGTGGTCTTCTTCCGTTCACCTTGCCAGTCACCATTAGCTTCTCCAAGCTGCCGTGATCCTTTCTTGCAATGTGGCCAAAGTATTTCAGAACTCTACGTAGGCAGATAGTAGAAAGCCTCGTCTTTGTCTGGAGTTCTTGGAGGATAGACACGTTGGTGCGATGTGCTGTCCAGGGAATTCCTAGCATCTTTCGCCAGCACCACATCTCAAATGCATCAATTCGGTCGCGATCGGCTTCCTTCATGGTCCAGGTCACTGCGCCATATAAGAATATGGAGAACACTAAATTACACTAGTCACTAGTAAATGTATACTATTAAATGCATATTTTTCTTTTATTTTTAATCTTCACGAAAACTGATTACATCGTAAAATCAACTAAATCATGAGCCAGTACTTCGAACAAAGGAATAAAGAGAACCACCATCCTAATTCTATCAGTCAGTTGTTCATTCCGGTTCTCAAGATGTCTTGCCACCAATGGGTGGCGTTATTCGTGTTGTGCTGGTAACCGCAACATCAGGCTGCCACAAATTAAACAGCATTAAAAATAAAACACGACTAAAATGTATGTTTTATTCACATTAATAAAATTACTTTTCAATGCAACATTATAACATTATTCACAGGTACGTACGTTTTGGTATTTATTTCTATTCTGTTACCAAATACTTATTTAAATGTAGCACCAGGTATATAGAAAAGTTGAAAAGTATTCAGAAAAACAGATCGGCGCGGCGTGGGAAGTAAATTGGACATGTTTAATGAGGTATCGTATTCGTATTATCGCTACGGTATCTGTCAACGGATGTGAGCCGGCTGATACAGGAATACGGAGATGACGAACAACACTAAAAGCTTTGACTGTAAGGTACAAGGTCCACACAAACTGCTAATATGGTTTTCGCGGTCACGAAAGACACCACAGCCCTCCTTGACCAAGAAAACTGGGGAGTATTCGAAACATCGGAAGAATATAATGAAAACACTGAAGTTTTTTTGTTATGATATTTAATTCCAAATTTTAAACATCAAATGGCTCTCTCGTTGAGTTGCAAAAATGTCGCTTAAACCAAATAGCCTTTCATCCCTCGTTATGTACATGCCTTAACTATCTTACAAGACGGATGGTTGAACATATGGTCCACTTGAGAGTAATTGGTCCCCGTCATTCGTGGACCTACTATGGATATATCCAAGTCGTACATCCCTCTCCTCACACCCCTATAACCTTTTTTTTTTAAAGATTGATTTTTGGACGAATTTACTGTCCACCTGGTGTTAAGTGGTTATTGGAGCCCATAGACATCTACAACGTAAATGCCGCACCTACCTTGAGATATAAGTTCTATGGTCTCAGTATAGTTACAACGGCCGCCCCATCCTTCAAATCTAACTTGACTAAAAATGTTTTGTTACACGAAACATAGGTTACCCGTATAAAAAGTAAAGTATTTCATATCGATCTAACAACGCCACAGTTTGGACATTTTATACAAGATGGTTATAAATTATATACTCAGACCTTCCTGATTCAACACTTTCTCAAATTCAACTCCTTTCTATTGATATCAAAATCGGTTACGTGGTTTATAGAAAGAGCGGATTAATAGAGGCAGAGAGCGACTTTGTTTTATACTATTAAAATTTTAAAAATTTCTATAGGTAACTCTGGCATGAAGTACTACTATGGTGTTTCCTTAGTGCTTCTACTCGTATTCCCAGCTTAGTTTAATCACTAAATGAAATTTACTACTTAGAATTTATTTAAAATGAAAAAAAAAACGGTAAAATCAAGATTAATTTCATTAAGAGGTCGCGATTTTTTGGATACAATACATTATATATAATTTACCCTTATTGATTATACCCTTATTGATTCTCTGGATTGTGACATTAGGGCAAACATTCTTATAGCACACGATCTAATCGGTGCCTTATATCTACCTACTTTTTTGGGTGATTAATTAACCGTTCCAAACATACATTAAATTTATTTTATGAGCTAACAAAATAAAACCAAACATTAAATCTTTTTTAATTTTTTTTTTAATTGCTTAGATGGATGGTCGAGCTCACAACCCACCTGATGTTAAGTGGTTACTGGAGCCCATAGACATCCAAAACGTAAATGCGCCACCCACCCTGAGGTATAAGTTCTAAGGTCTCAAGTATAAGTCAAAACTTCTTAGCACCGTTTTGTTTATTAATAAGTTATTCTAATTATGTATTATCGTAACACAATGAAACGACAATGGCACTCGAATACACTAAAATACTTCTGAAGGTTTCACTTCTACTTGCGTGAAATTCTCATTTGTTTTGGATGACAAAAGATTAATTAAGATTAATAATACATAATTTCGATGTAAACTTTTTTATTTAGATATTTTCTTTTCTTATTTAGACATATTTTTCTAGTTTCTCGGCACACGAATTTTATATTGAATCATAATTTATTGTTTATTTCTATTTTATTAGCCATCTTCTATATACCAATAATAGAATTCTAAACATTATTTACGCATTCATCTATTTAATTAGGTACGCAGAATTTTAAACAACAGCATGTCTCGTAAAATGTGTCGAAGGTAAACAAACAAGCGTTGACGACCGCATTCTTATATTTGGGAACAAATGTTTACATTTTTTTCTCCTACCAAACCTTTGGTAATCTAAAGGGCTATTCCAAGTACGCGCGGAAGGGTAGGTGATCTCACGGGCTCAACCTCAGAGAGATACGTTTACTGAATTATATGACTTAATGTATTGGCATAAAACATAAATATCTAAAGCTTATTTTTTTACATACGTTACATAAAATGCGTTTCTGGCTTGAATAAAATTTAATTAAGCTGAATGATCAAAGGATGATGAAACTAGTTTGAATATGTGAATAGTTTGAATATGACCGAGTGTAAAGGAGCCGTTACTGACGCCAAGAACGGAGTAGAAGGTTTCTTGTACTACACCCTCAATAACTCAGTTAATAATTGGTTATTATACTGATCGATACACCGACGCCGAGGGTTGAAGTTTCAGATCGATGCGTGCTCAATACGGGTTCGTATTTACGTAGGGGTATTGCGCCAGGTCAATCAATGGTCAATCAAATTCAGCTTAGCAAATGAAAATAGTGATTTTAAGACTTCAGAACTGATTTCCTTACACTCTCTATAACTATTCACAGCTTCTGTAAAAATCTCATGTAAAATTGTAAATAACAGCACCGTGATTAGGCGTCGTTGCGAAAACATGTGAACGTGCACTGACCCTGTCTAAATTGCAATGTTCAACATAAAACTTATCGATTAACGTTTCTATGTATTTTGTAACATTTTCTTTTGGACATAACGCTACAATGCATCCACCCCAACCCGCGCCTGTTAAACGGGCGTAAACGTTCATCTTTCTCGATAGGTCCACCAAACGATCCAGATTGTCGTGGGAGCATTCGTAGTTTGTCTTTAGACTTTCGTGGCTCTCCAGCATCAATGCTCCTAAATTTTCAATTATATTGCTTATCTTTTCAACGCCATTCTCATAGAGCAAATCACCGTTATTACTGTTTGTCGATAATTCATTTTTGAAAGTCGAATGCTGACATAAGTAACGGAAGCTATCAACTCGCTTGGCTTCTTCGTAAACGTGAATGGCACGTTGTTTTAATTTAAATTCGGTCAAATGTCTAGTGTTCGGGGTCAAATAGAACCTGTTCAATTCGTCCTCTGGTATATTCAGCAATTCACAAATATCGCTTTTTAAATACAGTTCTTTAGCCAAATGTTCGGTTACAAGTTCTAGCATTTCGTTTAATGATTTTTGTAGCTTTTTTTGAAGTTCGCTCAGTGAAATAATTTCTTTCGTAACATCAATACCCGAACAAGCAGCTAGTATCTTGGCTGCCAGTCTGCATTCTATGACTCTTGTGTTAAAATCGTTAGTCGCAGCTTTGTTTGCTTCAGCTAAACTATGTGCAACAACGAAGGTAGCATTTTCAGGAAGGGATACTGGCATAGCATTCAGTGGATTCCAAGTAATATATTGAGCACTAGATTTTTCCGCCAGAAAAGCAATAGCCTGATCCATTCCACCACCCTGAGTGCCAATATAACGTTCGCTTTCGGCACATAAAGAAGCTATTTTTAATTTACTTATTTTAGCATTCTGAGCATGTAAGAATGCAAGACAAGAAGCGCTTACTAAGGCAGACGAACTTGATAGTCCGGAAGCCGGTGGAATATTTCCATCTATGAGAAAAATTACACCGCCTCTGATTTTTCTATCCAGAAATTCTAATCCACCCTTTACTCCACAAAGTACGTAATTGTACCAGAACGGTTTCCCATCCTCGTCTGGTTTTATGTCAAAGTCTTCTGGCTTCGAAATATCCATCTGAAATTTACAGTATTTAGAATTCGTATTCCGTATTCTTAAATCTTTTTCATTAATCAATCCAACCGCAATCAAAATACTTTGTTCTAAAGCCATCGGTAGCACTGGATATCCACAATAGTCGATATGTTCTCCAATTATATTAACACGTCCCGGCACTTTAACAGTGAAGTCCGGCTTGATCCCAAATTCCTCTTCAAATTTTTCATTTAGTTGATTGATTCGCGTATCAGCTGTTGTTTTTAATATAGGTATTTCGTCGTGTCGTTGATTATTCATTTTGAATTGAAATTGTATACGTGTTATTAATAAATTCGTTCCTTACTGCCAATTGATATGACTGGAACGAATAAACAATGTTTACACTGCTTCACTCACAGTCGCACTTAACATTGATAACGTTATCACGTATCGTTGATTGTCCACAATTCATAACAAACACTCGATTGCTGTTACACTAAACAATTACCAATTATACGATAAATTACTAAATGAAAGGAATTATATTAAGTATGGTCTGCTAGAAAATTTCTTAAATTTTCAGTTCTTTGAAAACGCGTATTTAATTAAACATAACCTCTACAAATCAGCCGCCCCGCGCATCTGCGCTTCGCCAACTGTAAACTAGTGTAAACGCCTATCGAGTTGAGCGAGCGTCGACTGTCTAGTAAACTCTAGTAGCCAGGAGCAGCTGCCAGCAGTGCCAGCGTGTTTGTATTGTTTTGTATCATGTACATTTAGATAATATAGGATTTGATAATATTATTGATGATCTCAACATCCCGAACATATAAATTGTTAAGTTTTACTTTAAACATATATTTGGATTTCAGATATCAGTGAAACGGAAAACTACACATATTTTGTTCTTAAAAATTCTTTGAGTGACTATATAAATACTCATTTAATCTATGATAAATACAGTCCACATTAAGTTAGCAGAAGCTATTAAGCTATATCTTTAGATCTTTAACTATGAACTATCTAACTTTAACTATAATCTATAACTATCTTACATGAAAATGTCACGCAAGATAGTATTTTACAAATAAACTATATAGTAAGAAGGTTCGCTCCTGTCAGTGAATCACACACAAAGTCGTTTTCCAGTCTGTTGAGTGGAGCCTTTATTCTCTTGCCGGATTCTTGTCATTTTATGTGACGTCCATTAGACTTTAAATTCGATTGAGACACCAAAATTAAATCTTTAATAAAAATGAATTCAAACTCACCATCGTTTTTTATTTATTATTATTATTAATTATTATTTATTATTTTATTAGCATAGAGGGGCAGATGAGCGCACATCCTTCCGGGCAGTCTAGTTTCTGCCAGGACTCTTGATGAAACCCATTAGAAAAAAGGTTTCGCAAAAAGTGAATAAGAGATTCATTGGAATGAGGCTGTAGAGTTCTCCGATTATTATATTAGCTTATTCGCCAGCGCCAACGGGTATTCACTGGCGGTAAGGCGGTTATCGTCGCTTATGGACGTCATCAATATCAGGGGCAGAGCCAAGCCACTGCTTACCATTTATATTATTTATTTTTTTATACAATAAACTTAATTTCGGTTTTTGTTAAAAAGGTTTGTCACTGTGGCCTACATCCCCTTTGCATGTATAATAGACATTACAACCAAAAAAAGTTTGATCAAATTCAAAACAAAACCAGGGAAGTCAGGGAAATGTGAAATTGTAATTTATGGAATGCAATTAAACTAAAACTAAATCTAATGTAAACAATACATATATAAATAATACTTTATTAGGAGCAGTCTCAAAATATATAATAAGATCAATAAATGGCTGTTAATTTAGATTTAAATAAAATTTGCCGAACATGCCTAACAGATACTGTTCCTTTAAAGGACTTGTTTTCAGTCTGTTCACCAGAAATTTTTAAGTATTGCACTTCAGTTGAGGTAATTCGTTTTATAACGTTTACTAATTTTAATAGATACATTCAATTTAGGTTATGCTAAATCTAACAGCATTACGTTTTCTTCAGGCACCATTTAATTACAAAACAATCAATATCCCTGAACACTTGAAATATTACTTCTGAGTTCACAAATTAAAAAGTATTTTTTTCACTCAACTTTATATAAAGTATGGAATTTTATTTTTATTTTTGTAGATGTGACAAAAACAATGAAAAATAATAAGTGTTCTTTAGATTTCAGATGATGATAAACTACCCAGGAAAGTCTGTGAGATGTGTGTTGCATTATTGCAAAAGTTGTATCAGTTCAAACAAATAGCAGTTAAGTCAAATACGGTGTTACAACATCACATTGAAGCTACGGTAAATAACATTATTAAAATTTCTACTTCAGGACAGTAAGTATACTATAAGTTGTTGAGAGTTGAGAGTTGCAATTACAATAAGACCAACACATACATGATCAACAACAATCACAAGTTCAACTAGATTTGATATAACTATAGATTCTAAATTTAAGAAACAAATAACATAGATAAGTAGAAAAAGAACATGGTTTTTACCTCTTTAAGAGTGAACAAGAGAGTGGCCTTTTTGATGTTAAATTGAGCCTTTGAATACTAAAATTTGAATATTTTATTGCATCTAATGCATGACTACACAGCAAAAATAAGCTCATTGGACATACCTATCCATGAAAGATGTCTTTCTCTTTTAATAGTCTCTGTGATATGTAGTTCAAATATATATATTGGTAATAACTATAGTATTTTGCTTTCCTTAGAAGAGGATAAAACTAGAACATGGATTTGCAGACAGCGAAATAGAAATGCCTATAGCTATACTGACCGAAGAGACACAATTCACACAATCTATAAATAACAGTTGTCCTGAATTGCACAACATGCCCATCCAGGAAGAAAATCAAATAAGGTATTTGTGAATTATTTAAAATTTGATTTGTTTCAGTCCAGTTTTTAGTTAACAAGTTCTACACAAGTTCTAGTGATTTCATAAATCCTCAACTTGTTTATGGAATGTACTAATTACTGTATTATTGTGTATATAAATATAACATAACACTTCTCAATTTCTTTTCAAGACATGAGTTGTATAAGATATATCACCCATCGCTATCGTTTATTCACTAATAAATTACAAATTCATTCAAAAACTCAAAATATATGAAATGGATAAATAATCCATACTGACTAAAAAAAGAGACATGTTTGGGGATATTAAAATGTAAATATAGACCTTAACAGTGTATACTAAAAACCACAAAAATATATTATATATTTGCTTACTGGCTTTGCTGCTTTATTAAGCATAAATACATATTTCACTTCATTGGGAAATGATATATTGGGGTGTTCATAAATCAGTATAAAAAAAAAGTCAGTATAAAGCATCTTTTTGACATTCTGATATTTATGAGCCTCTGTAACCAAATAAGATCTTATATTAAATACATATAGTATTGAACAAAGTAGAGAAATGCAAATAGGCTTCTATCTTTAATATGAATCCATCTATATTGTAACTAGACATTTGCAAGCCATAGAACAGTGAAATTTCTCTTATATTTTGAATTAATTTTCAGGAAAAGAAGAAGGAAATCTGAGCCGAAAAAGAAAAAAGTCCGTATGAAATGCCCAAAATGCGAGAAAACATTCCAAAAATATGAAAATTTCGAAGCCCATATGAGAAATCATTTTGGCAAGAAAGTACGATACATTAATGCTATTTTGAATACTAGTTAGTGATCACTGTTTATTTTAGGGAATTCTGAATTATAGTTTTTTTTACTACCCAAAATTATGAAATTATTCAATCATGAAGAAATAAGGTGTAGTAGTATCCAAACTTTCGTTGTAGGTAATCGTAAGATTTTAAGGATAAATTATTCTGGGGGGTGCCTGATTTTCTCTCATCCTGTAACAGCTATCAAGCAGTCATGTTTTTCTATTATAATTCTGGGCCATTGAACCACAGCATTGAAATCAGAAACTGAAATTCCCATGGTTGATGATTTACATTAGAATGCTGTTTGATTCTGTATCCAACACACTAGGAGGACTTTGCTATACTGTAATATGAAACTCAGAATCAATATCATGTCCCATAATTATATTAAAGACTTGTAATATTTCCCCCGCCCCGCCTATTTCTGCCGTGAAGCAGTAATGCGTTTCGGTTTGAAGGGTGGGGCAGCCGTTGTAACTATACTGAGACCTTAGAACTTATATCTCAAGGTGTGTGGCGCATTTACGTTGTAGATGTCTATGGGCTTAAGTAACCACTTAACACCAGGTGGGCTGTGAGCTTGTCCACAAATCTAGGCAATAAAAAAAAAATTATAATTATAATAAAATCAATACATTTTTTAGCCCGACATAAAGTGTGAGCAGTGTGAGAAGACATTTCCGAATTTAAGAAACTTACATAGTCACATTAGGACCCACACTGGTGTTAGAAAATATCAATGCTTGACTTGTGGAAAGAACTTTGCCTACCTCAATGTATTGAAAAATCATGAACTAACACACAGCGGAGTCAAGAAATATGTTTGTCATATATGCAATGCTAAGTTTATTCAGAGATATAACTTGAAGGTGAGTAATAACATAAACGTAATAATGTTTCTGTTAGCTTGTTTATTGAATTTCAGCACTAAAAAAAGCATAGGAAATATCACTGCAAGAACCATACAACTAATAATATCTAATATTCAGTACACTGGTGGTGGTGTTCCCATGATATTATTTGTTGAATGTACAATTCTAATGCTAGGAAGAGAGATCACTGCACTGTTGCATAAATCAGAACCTAATAATTTATAATTACTATTCTATCTATTAATGTATTCTTTTGTATTATCATCTTTGTAATAAATAAATAAATGATTTAGTATTGTATGCTCGATCGTTCGTAATTCAAAGCTTCGTGAAATCGCAGAGCAACATTTTACATCAAGTTATGCAGTGTTCTAACTTATGTTTTCTCACAGTTGTTCATGCTATTGTTACTATGTACATGCTATTGTAGCCGAGCTCATGGGGCTCAGTCTGCCAGACTTTGCTAATATTTGCTCATGGTAGTGGCTGCAATACAATAGTTAGTATCAATAAAGCAGCTCTTTACATTTAGACTGTGACCAGCATTAGCTTATTTTTAATTTTGTAACATATCACCTCAGTATAGTATCGATATTTGTTTGAATAATCAATAGTAGCTATATTACCCTTAATTTATACACTGCAATCGAGTATATAGTTAGATTGTAGAGTGTATTAACAAAATATGACACTAGATTTGCAATGCAATATACCAGCGCTATATCTTGTGATCGAAGGCTATAATTGAAGTACAATGTGTTAATCACTGATATTTAATTATTAATTACAGACTCATCTAGATACACACACGAACCAGAAAAAGTATATCTGCGGTCAATGTGGCAAGAGATTCTCGCAGCCGGGCAATCTGAAGATACACCTAATACGGCATACAGGGATTAAGAATGTTGCTTGCCAACTATGTGATATGAGATTTTATGTTAAAGTAAGTACAATAATTTATTGAGATGTTTAGTCAGTTGTTATTCATAAACTTATCACTTTCATGTTGCACTTTTCTCCCTATGTATAAATCGATTTTCTCAACTGCTGTTTTGCTTTAAGAAATGGGTTAATATTCGTTCGTAACGTTATTTAGATGTTCTTTTAAATATATTATTTGATAAGTACTGTAAACTATTGAGCATACAGACCACATAATGGTGAGTGGTCTCCGTCGTTCCTAGCAGTTAGCAATGCCAAACCGCTGCCTACGTCTGAGGGGTAAATTTGCGGTTTGTCAAAATATAAATAAATAATTCAATTTTTTCTTTATTTATAATGTCTGTGTAATGTCTTACTTGTAAACGCTTAGCTTAGCTTAGCTGTACATACTGAATTAACTTTTTATTTATTACAGAGCGACTTATTTAAGCACATGCGGTCGCACTCGGCCGACAAGCCGTTCTCGTGTGAATACTGCGACAAAACTTTTAAGAGCAAAAGCTTCCAAATTGTACATCTACGTTCGCATACAGGTCCGTTGTTTAGCATTTTGTGTATTCTTGTTTCGTGACTTCGCTAACAGAAGTCGTCGTGGCCTAAAGGATAAGACGTCCGGTGCATTCGTATGTAGCGATGCACCGGCGTTCGAATCCCACAGGTGGGTACCAATTTTTCTAATGAAATACGTACTTAACAAATGTTCACGATTGACTTCCATGGTGAAGGAATAACATCGTGTAATAAAAATCAAACCCGCAAAATTATAATTTGCGTAATCACTGGTGGTAGGACCTCTTGTGAGTCCGCACGGGTAGGTACCACCGCCCCGCCTATTTGTGCCGTGAAGTAGTAATGCCTTTCGGTTTGAAGGGCGGGGCAGCCGTTGTAACTATACTTGAGACCTTAAAACTTATATCTCAAGGTGGGTGGGGCATTTACGTTGTAGATGTCTATGGGCTCCAGTAACCACTTAACACTAGGTGGGCTGTGAGCTCGTCCACCCATCTAAGCAATAAAAAAAAAACTTGTGGTTACCCATTTAACGTCAGAGAGGTCTTCTAAAACATTCCTGACGATTTCCATAGGCGAGAGACCATACGCGTGCGATTTCTGCCCTAAGAGGTTCATGTCGCGCAAGGACATGAAGAACCATCGCATGATCCACACCGGGGAGCGACCCCACAAGTGCGCGCTCTGCAACCAAGCGTTCATACAGAAGTGTGCGTTGAATCGCCACATGAAAAGTCACGAGAAAGACGGGCCAGTGATGAACGCCATCCAAGGGATCGAGCAGTCGGCCGTGGCGGTCTCCTACGCGGCCTGGGATGATGTGTGAAAATTATATATTTTACTAGCTGACCCGGCAAACTTCGTAGTGCCTCAATTGATAAATAAAAGACCTAAGCTTTTGTATAAAATAAACATAAAGTAACTTAACAATAAGTACCATTTTGCCCTTTTAACCCCTTTAACCTGTAACCCCTTTGTCCACTCGTGTCTTCAATTACCCATAAAATTGAATTATAGACATCAAGTCGCAAGGATCCTCCTTGGCTGGCTTTCAGATTGTGATGTGTATTGGCCCCAATAAACACTTCATACCAGGTGAGCTGAGACCTCAATAACTTACCTAAGGAATAAATAATACAAAGAAAATTCAAATTTGTATAACTAATTTCTTAATAATATCATAATTCGATGTTTGTAATGCATGTAAAAATAGTTTTGGATCTAATCCGAAACACAATAAAAAAAAGAGTGACAGTTCATTGTTTTATTTCTTTAATCACAAAGCATGAAGCATTGTTGCTGGTATTAATTGCGCCTAAATAGAGAACAATTAATGAGGTTTTCATATATCGAGGTTTGATAATGGTGCCATTTGCCAAATTTCTTTACTCAACATATTTAATCAAACATAATATGATCACACTTTACCATATTTCATCAAACATATATTTTTTCTACTACCAGACAAATTTTTCCAATTTCATTTCTAAAAGGAGAATATTATCTATCCTTCATAGCTTTGAACTGGGTCAGCAGTGAACAAGTCTTGATCAAAACTCACAGCACACTTGACTGAGGCTGTATATATAGTAGGCAGACGAGCATACGGCCCACCTGATGGTGAGTGGTTACCGTCGCCCGTGGACTTCAGCAATACCAGGGGCAGAGCCCAAGCCGCTGCCTACCGCTTAATAATCTCCACAAGCCTCGTTTGAAGAAGGACATGTCATAGCGCTCGGCAAACACCGTGGAGGGGAGCTCATTCCATAGCCGGATAGTACGTGGCAAAAAAAACCTCTGGAAGCGCACTGTGGATGACCGCAGTGGCTCCAGGTAGTATGGATGAACTCTACTCCGGTGGCGGGCGGTGCGATGGTAAAAACGAGAGGCCGGTATGAAAACCCTTCTCTTCTCGTCGATAGAATATTTAATTTGTTGTTATTTGTCGTTCGTGTATCTTCGAATGACGTTTCATGGAGCTACTCTGCGAAAATTCCTGATCGCAGACCGCGCATCTGTAGGGCCTCTCGCCCGTGTGTGTCCTTATATGTTCCCGCAAGTTCTTCCTCGATATAAACGTCTTAGGGCAGTACGTGCAATTATACGGTCGCTCGCCCGAATGTATCCGCATGTGCAAAGTCAGGTTCGATTGGGACGATATTAGTTTGTCGCAAACGTCACACTTGTAATACTTGCGGTCGGCGCTGTTGTGCCTGATCAAATGTTGGGCCAAGTTGTATTTGTCGATGAAGGGTTGGTCGCAAACGTGGCAGATGTAGCGGCGGTCGGAGTGGCGGCGGGCCACGTGCGTGTGGAGCACGGTCTGCGTCAGGAACTTCCGGCCGCACTGTTCGCACGTGAACCTTCTCTCTCTGTGCTCGTTGTGGGTCTCTAAATGTGTCTGCAACAGTAACAATGTGCGTAAAATTTAGAACCTTTTTTTTACCTTACCTATACTTATAGATAGATAGTCTTGAGAGGCTATATCAGCGTTACTTAACAAGTGACCTCACGAGGCTCGAACCTGACGACGTTGCTATAACGAACCCTAGCAAGAGCCGTGCTTCGCAGAATCTACCACCGGATCGGAAACGCGACCCACTGAAAAGATCCGGCGAGAAACTCAGTGGACTGTTTCCGTGTGGTTAATTCACTCGCCGAGCCCTTCGACGCAAGCGACGGGTTCGACGAGAACGGTGACCAGATAAAAGCTTAGTGACAGTTTAGTCACATAAGTGTACTTGAATGATATATTTGTTAGGTGTAGTGTTAGCACATTAACCAGGCTGAACTCCATGAGCTCGCCTACGCGTTCAGTGAAGCTATTATAATCCATCGTGATTACTAGAATAGGCAGGCAAACAAAAAGGAAATGAGAAAAGTGAAAATCTTGCTTATTTCTGCGTGAACCAATAATTAAAGGGCAGCAGAGCCGTTGTACTGAAAAATTGAGATTTAAAAGTCATGGTTCGAGATAGGTGACGGCATTTATAATTTTTTACTGCATAGATGGACGAGCTCACAGCCCGCCTGGTGTTTTCCTGGTGATTATTGGAGCCCATAGACATCTATAACGTAAATGCCGCCACCCGCCACCTAGGTTGTAGATGTCTATGGACTCCAGTGACTATTTAACACTAGATGCGCTGTGAGCTTGTCCAAACATAAATGTATTACGCATATGATTGTCCTTACTTTCAAAATGACTGCGGTAGTGAATCCCTTTCCGCAAACGTCGCACATCAGTAAAGGTCTCTCCCCGTGTATCCGCTCGTGGACCTTAAGTGTGTGTTTGTTCTTACTCAACTTGCCACAGACCTTACATTTCAAGCTTTCCAGCTTAACTTGTGTGTGTTCGTTCTCCTTGTGTCGACGTAGACCGCTCCACGTCACAAATGTTTTGTTGCACGGTTGACAAAATATAGATGTCTAAAAGTGATTTTTTTTTATATTTTATTGCTCGTGTAGGCAGACGAGCTTAGGGCCCACCTGATGGTGAGTGGTTACCGTCGCTCATGGACGTCACCAATCCCAGGGGCAGAGCCAAACCGCTGCCTACCGTTAAATAATCTCCACAAGCCTCGTTTGAAGAAGGACATGTCATAGTGCTTGGGAAACAAAACTGTAACTAGGATTAAACATAACATCTAAAAATGTAGTCTGTTCGTAAAGTTACAGGGATGCAGTCTTTTAAGATTAATTTAAGGGAAATTAAAAAAAAAACAATATGAAGACCGGTAATGGTGATAGCCAGATTGATGATACTGTCAATTGAAGTAATTATTGTGGATGTTCCCACTTGCTTATTTGTTTTTCATGTAATAGGACATATTGTTAGCCTGCAAGAGTAGGTATCATTAACCCCTTTTTACCTCAGCTGTGAGAATAAGACACACTCAGGTGTGAAGACACCGAGACCACCATTAATCCTATTCAAAAGTTTGAAAAATTTATTACACATTTTACTTACAACTTTGCCTTCATGCTCTAATTTGTGGGCTTGAAATCTATCTAAATAATTGAATTTTTTATTGCAAATATCACATGTAAATATGAAATGATTCTTCTGTTTCACAATATTTTTCTTTTTTCTTTTATTCCCTTGTAGTTTTAACTGTATCTTTAATTTTCTGTAATTAAACACAAAATTAATGTTTCAAATATTAATTCAATTTGTCAATTAGTTTCAAAAACTAAATAAAATTAGAACAAAGTTTGGTGACGAGTCAACTATGTATACAAAATTTTATTACCTTTCCTTTGGCTTAATATCTTCTACAATAGTTTCAGCATTAAAATCTTGCAACGGCAACCCTAAAAAATAGTAGTATAATTCTGTGTTTATGTTATTTTCTCTCTAAAATAGTAGTCACCAAGGGATTGGGGATACTGGATAATTAAATAAAAATAAAGCATAATTGCGATTGGAATTTAATTGCAGATCTTTTTCATTGAACTCAAAGGCAGTAGCCATTAGGAAGGTAGGCCATCACTTATGGAAATGAATAATCCAAATCATAAGTTTAGTGTCTGTCTGTATACTGGAACACTTGTTTACTATTAGTACTAATAGACCGAACAATGGTAACAACCCATGCAGACTCAAAATAAGCTCTACTACAAATGAATAAGACTCTTTATAGAACTGTCTGTGCATCACAAAAAATATTAATATATAAATCTGATAAAATGCTATTAAATCAAATGGATTAAATAGATTAAGAAGTATGTTTATGACCGTCTCTTTAACTTCACTCACTTTGAGTGATTTAATTCTTTGACTTTTAGTTAATTGTAACTTACCACCATATTCAGGATGCAAGTTTTCAACTTTCACTACAAAATTTTGATAATCATTGGGTCTCTTCTCATCATTTTCATTTTTATCAATGTAGAGATTTCCATAGTCATTGTCATCATCCCAACTTGTATCTGCTTCAGTACTTTCATTTTTTACTGATTTTTTCAAACCAAGCAGTGCATTTTGGGATGTGATACAAGTATTTTTGAATTCAGAATATTGTACAAGTAATTTGTGGCAAATTTCGCAAATCACTTTTGGCAATTTCTCATCTTTGTATAGCTGAAACATTTTTTGTTTCTAATTCAAATAGACAATGTTGAAATATCTTGTAGATTTGTTTTTGCCCTTGTAGGCAGACAAACCATCTGATGGTTGAATTGTCACCATCACTCATCATAGAAGTCAACAATGTAATTGTTGATTTGTGATATGTGAATTTATTTGTTGCAGTATCATAAGCTGCTTGATTCTACAAATTTAACAGGTTTAATTTGGAAATAAAAGCTACTATTTAAATAAGCATAATAAGCCATTCTATATGAACAGACACCTGATTTTAAATGTTAACTTGAGTCAATAGGCATGACAGCTAGAATGCCATCAAACTGTATTGCATTATTGCATTGAGGCAGAAATAGGCAGGAATGTGGCATGCATTGATGTGGGCTGACAATCATCATAATCATCATCATCATCTCAGCTTGTCCACTGTCCACTGCTGAACATAGGCCAGTCCAACTAATGTCCAGTGCGCCCGGTCCGTTGCCACCTACATCCAGTGTGAGCCTGGATGTTTTTCATTAGACCGTCGGTCCGTCTGGTAGGTAGGTGGCCGTGACATATGAATGGCTGTAGTTAATGATAATGAAATGACAATGTAGTGACTGACAATGCCCATAATTAGTATACGTATTAAGCCGATTTGAATAACCAAAACAACGTTACACAATCCAATGTCAGTTTAAGTATATAACTGAAATAATGACATAAACAATAATCTAATAACCCTTGGGGATTCAATGAATTATTAATTCACCTTAATCGAAGTGCAATAGTAAAACAAATCGGCCGACACATTTTCAAAAAGTTCGTAAGTGGTGTTCTCACATACTGTTAGGCATGCACGGCACACTTTTGAAATTTCATTCATGACAGCAATTTTTTTATTATTTGACATGGTTCTCTAATTATTAATTTTTAGTACATTTACATTGAGTGTTTTGTTCTCTTGTTTTGATTTTTGATCAGTTTGAAGATAGAAGTAAATTAAGGTAAATATACAGTGACATTCGGTGAACGTTGACAGTTGACGTTTATGCTGTCATTCGCAAATATCATTTCGTCTAGAAATTATTATTTAATTTTTAATGTATAGTATTAAATCATCTTTGAGACGTTCACGAATTTTTCTTCCAACCGCCACTAAAGCTGCGCTTGCAGAGTCTCTCCTTCTTCCAATCTTTGAATACGCCGTTGTCAGCTATCCTGATCTAACCGAAACACAATTTGATAAGCTTCAGCGCCTAAATATCTTTTTTATTGCCCTTGTAGGCAGACGAGCATACGGCCCACCTGATGGTGAGTGGTTACCGTCGCCCATGGACTTCAGCAATGCCAGGAGCAGAGCCAAGCCGCTGCCTACTATTTAAGATTCATATTTGGTTTACGGAAATAGAATCATGTATCTGAATTTCACCCTAAACTGAAGTGGTTGCCAATTCGCATTTGTTGTAATACTCATGTCCTTTCTTTACTACATTGTATTCTTTTTTACCCCCATATCCGCACATATCTCAAGGAACGTTTCAAGTGCAAGTTCCTAATACGCATAATTTTTCCTTGAGATAACCGGATTGCCTGAGACTAAAAATGCCTGTGCATTCATCATTCTTTAATAATTCATTCACCGTCCAGGCTATCCGTTTGTGGAGTGCATTGTCGGCTGCAGTGAGAAGTGCTCCAACTTTCATCTGCTTAAAAAAATTCTGCTGAAGGAACATTAGTTATCTGCTTATTGTTGTTTCCTTGTCTAAGCTTCATCATTTCCACACTGTTGATTTATTATATTGTACATACTATGTAAGTATATTGGTATATGGTATGGTTTTTTTTTATGATTGAAATATTACTGGTGGCCCGAAGGCCTTTCCAAGAAAATGCTCAGCCAGGTGGGCTGGGATTTGCTAACAACTGCCCGAGCGCCTCCGAAGGAGACCTAACAACTCAAGAGCAATTGCTTCGCGAATGAATCTACTACCGGATCGGAATCGCGATCTGCTGAGAAGATCCGGCGAGAAACTCAGCGGGCTGATGCATGGATTAGGTTGCACGTCGACCTCTTTGTCGAGTTCGACGAGTACGGTTACCGGAGTCCCTAAGCCTGCTCCTAGTGTTAGAGCTGAAGGCGTCTAATGCAAAGGTTATTGGATCTGATGGATCCGTAAGGACGTGTCTAGGGCGTCGACGGTGACTGGCTCCTGCATGATCAGGATTCGGGGAGTAGTCAGCGGTGGCAACGATAAGGCGATTATCATGATGCATAGCCTTATCGAAGTACCGTTTCGACGCTGACTTCATGTATTTCCGTGTAGGTCAACGTTCCTCACGAACCACGGAGCCCCGACGGCTAACCTGCAAAAGCAGGATTGTAGGGATTGGAGGGTGTCTTATGTGTGTGCGGGCCGCGTGAGCGAACACCACACTCGCGTAAGTCATGACGGGCCTTATGCAAGTTTTGTAAAGTGTCACCTTGTTCCGAAGGGACATTTTACTCCGCTTACAGATCATGTGATAGAGTCTGCCGAGAATAAATGCGGCACGGTCGCGGACTGTTTTTATATGCAGGCGGAATATCATGGATGCATCCAGGGTGACTCCCAGGTACTTGGCCTTCCTGGCCCAGGGTATAGGTTGGCCGAAGAGGGTGATCGGGGGCGTGATATTTCTCCTCCTAATGCGGGAGGAAATAAGCGGTGAGTTTCCCCTTTGAAATAACACGCTGTGCTTTTCGCTAGGTTGATGTCTATGCGCCATTTTCGGAACCACTGTCCAAGGGTCAACGCTGCGCTTTGGGTATGGTATGGTATGCATATGGTATTTAAGTATAATGGTCTATAAAGCATATAGTGATTTCATATTACATGTAAACGGTACATATCTCTATATCTATTTATTTATCTCACATATATCTATTTATTTTATGTATGTATTTTCTTTAATATTTTTTTTCCCTACCTAAGCATTGAGAGGCTATGTCATCGTAACCCTAACGTGTAGGTGAGCTCTCGGGCTTGAAACCAGGAGGGGTTGCTAACACTGGTCCTAGCAAAAGCAGTGCTCCGCAGAATCTACCATCGAACGGAAACGCGACCCACTGAGAAGATCAGTAACTCAGTGGGATGTGTCTTTTGTTCCAAAATCACTAGTAAAATTATAAATCAGTTTTATTTATTTGTAGAAGGTTAAAGTTGATATCTGAGGCATATTAATGATCTAAGCATTTAGGTAAATACGTTTTCAATGTTTGTACTGTTACTTAAGCTTTATAACGATATAACTAGAATTTAAATTAATGAAATGGATTTTACGCATCCCGTTAGCTCTGAAATTTGTCTGTGATTTAGCTTTTTCGAGTTATCAGTGTACTTTTCCTACTCTGGTATCCACAACACACATGAATATTCTAGTTAGAGGCCATTGTGTTCGCAACATTTGAGTAAATCTAAAAGCATTTTCGATAGATCCAATAATCGCCTCTGAAATATAAAAATCGATTGATTACAGCGTTACTAATCGCTAGATCTAAACAATCCAAGGTACAGCCGTTTGGTTATAGTGGAGTGTTCCCTAATAGTCGGAATTTGACCATAATCACTGATGCCCCAAGATTTGTTTAAGAAATAACAATAACGTTTGGAACCTCTGGGTCTGCGGAGGGACTTCGGTACCCTCTGTATTTTGTACCGTATGTTCCAGGGGGAGTGCTCTGAGGAATTATTCGAGATGATACCGGCATCTCGTTTTTACCACCGCACCGCCCGCCACCGGAGTAGAGTTCATCCATACTACCTGGAGCCACTGCGGTCATCCACAGTGCGTTTCCAGAGGTCTTTTTTGCCACGTACCATCCGGCTATGGAATGAGCTCCCCTCCACGGTGTTTGCCGAGCGCTATAACATGTCCTTCTTCAAACGAGGCTTATGGAGAGTATTAAGCGGTAGGCAGCGGCTTGGCTCTGCCCCTGGCGTTGCTGAAGTCCATGGGCGACGGTAACCACATACCATCAGGTGGGCCGTATGCTCGTCTGCCTACAAGGGCAATAAAAAAAAAAAAAAATTTTTTTAAATAAGCAAAAAATAATAATTCAACATTCATAACCATTTCCGTAGATCCAAGATTAAAAAAAAAACGCAGTTTTAATAAAAAAAATATATAAATTTTATTTATATTTAAATAAATTCTATAATCTCATATAATTTCATTGAATACTGTAATTAATATTCAATTAAATATATTTCGTTAACTATTTAATCTATTACACGTATAATAGCCGCCACCTTTCTAATGTAGGTTACGTAATTGTTGCCTCGTACAATAATTGTCTGATATAGTTTTTTTATTTCACCTTGAAGTTAAACATTTGTAATATTTAATTATTACAGACATTATTATTATTTATAGTGATGGCGCGACATCGTGAGACGCATCAAGTCTGCCCCTTCCAACACTACATGACGATCACGACCACTCTGTCAAGAGTGACACGACTGAGAAGAAAATATTATTATTGAAAAATAATCATTTGTTATTTTGGTATCTTTTGTCATTGACAAAATCCTTTGTTTGCAGTGACCTTGACCATTACAAAGCATATAACCCGTCGATATCTACAAAATTAACAATTCGAGCGAAATCAACCCTTGTAAAACTACTGTGTTTGAAAAACGTACTAATTCCTTCTAATAACAAAGGTGATCATTTCTAGGATAACATTTCTTTTTTCAAAACATTACATATCTTAATATTAAACAGTTTTTTTTTCATATTTTTTTGTTAATTTTGTAGAGTTCGAAATGTTTTAGTAATGTACCTGACCGCTAGAGTTTCAATCATATTTTTTTAAATCTTAAATATAATCACACCTTATATCACTATCGTTTCCCGCTTATAATTAAGAAGTAACATGAAATATAATTTGGGACAGTAACTACTATTAACAAAAATTCAACAGAAAATAGTACTTAAGAAAGTAATCTTCCTTTAGCTTACTTTATTAGACGTATGCACGTTGCATGCATGTTATTAAAATGTATATTTCATACATCTTTATATAGGGTTTTTAATTTTTTTACTGCTTAGATGGGTGGATGCGCTCACAGCCTACCTGGTGTTTAGTGGTTACCGGAGCCCATAGACATCTACAACGTAAATGCCGCCACCCACTTTTGAGATATATGTTCAAATGTCTCATAATAGTTACAACGGCTGCCCCACCCTTCAAACCGAAACGCATTACTGCTTCACGGCGGAAATATGCAGAATTAGAATTTTTCTAAAACGATAATACAGAATAATGTCTTTATTTTACTAACGCGTCTAGTATTGCACGCGATGTAAGACAATTAGCAGCTTACGCAAGTAGCTGTGTTCCACAGTGTTCGTGCGATCGCGACAAAGTTATTTTATATTCCGCTTATAAGTATAAAGATATGATAGTCGCCTCTATAAATAACAAACACGGTAAATTGTTTCCGGGTTGTAGGCAAATGCGTATAAAGCGCCCGCATGAATGAAATTAAAACGAGATGAGATGAAATAATGTCTCAGTAAATTTCGTTAATCTATTAAGACTTCCGTACGCAGCAATGTAAATTAATTTTATATTCATTTGTTAGAGTAGTCATTTATTGGTAATCATTTTGTACTAGCTGTATTTATAACGACAATGTTCTGAGAGCGTTTGTTTGATTTAGTCTTTTGAGTATCACAGTGTAGTAAAGATTGGCTTATTAAAGTTTTCCCTGCATGAGAGGTTTGAGGTACTGGTGGAAGGATCTGTTGACGGGCTCCGCGTTGAGGGGACTCTTCAGCGCCTCCTCCATCAGGCGCTCGTACACGCGCCCGTCGTACGCGCCTAATGCTGAATGCAAAATCTGCAGGATGAAGAATTAATCACTTTTAATGAGTACACGATTCTGACAATATTACTGTGGGAGTAAATAGTGAAACCACGGAGGTCGGTAAAATATTTCGCGACACATTGATCTTCAGGATATTTTTGTCAGTATTGCAGGGGGAATGAACAGCAAAGAAAGGGATGGAAAGGCCATATAAATAAAATAAAAAACTGTAGGGTTTTGTCGATATATGGTATTGAAGTTCAATCCAGATCTCAATTGTATAAAACAATGGTGTATTGCATAGCTTTTATCCAGGGCTTTGAGCGCGGCGACCAAATCAAGAAATTTTGTGACGAATATAAAACCTAACACCCCCACTTCGCCTACCATGTAGCTCGCGTTCAACACATCCACACGTTGCGCTTGTGTAGTGTTTGAGAATAAGCGCGCGGCGTGACGTCGCACTGCATAAGCATCATGAAAAGTCTGCCCATCTCTCTCTCATGCGGTCTAGCTTATGAGTGTGAAGGGGACAGTTCATGTTTTGCTTTTGTTAATGTTAATGTAAATATAGCGTGGTCTTATTTTTATTATTGTTTTAATATTAAATTATTATTGTCTAATTGTAATTGCATAAGTTGATAAAAAATGCTTTGCAACAGCTTTACCGCGGCAGTCCCCGAGTGCCACACGTGTTTTTTTTAAATATTGTGACATGTAATTACCTCGTCGCGTATGTCGAAAGCGTCAACGAGTCCAACAGCGTTCGGCCTCAGTTTCGACAGTAAATCTTCGTACCAGCGCTGCAATCGTTCAATATCACGTTCCGATATCGATGTGAACTGAAATGAAATACATTACTATTAACTAACAACTGATATACATTTACTAGTGGTAGGACCTCTTGTGAGTCCGCACGGGTAGGTATCACCACCCTGCCTATTTCTGCCGTGGAGCAGTAATGCATTTCGGTTTGAAGGGTGGGGCAGCCGTTGTAACTATACTGAGAACTTAGAACTTATATCTCAAGGTGAGTAGCGCATTTACGATAAAGATGTCTATGGACTACAGTAACCACTTAATACCAGGTGGGCTGTGAGCTCTAAGTTATGAGCAACTAAGCAATAAAAAAAGAATAAAAAAAATCGTATCGTCGTTCAATCAATATGAAATAATTTTGATTCTATTCTTCACAATCCCAATGCCCCTATCTATCTCCGTGAACGTTTTGAATATCTGATTCCTGACGGCAAAGTTAGTCGACAAGCCACTTCTCTTCTTTTAAAAACTCCCATACACAGCTCTAGTCGCTATAGTGGCTCTTTCATAATACAAGCAGTGCGATTATGGAATTCTCTCCCTCAACCTATTCGTGCTAGTTCCTCTCTAGAAGTTTTTAAGAGTCAAATTAAGAAACATTTCCTGTCACTTTAATTGTATTTAAGTTATTGTTTTATATATGTTTATTTATATGTATTTTTCATTTTATATTAGGTTTTTTTTTCAATGCTTAATTTAATTGTCATGCTTTAATACCTTTTATATTGTACACTTTTCCCCTCTTATACATCGTATTTTACTCTGCTAATGGTTTGCTGGAAGAAAACTCACGAATGAGTTAAGCTCGCCTTTGTACATAGTATTTAGACATTCTTTAAATCTGTTTTTATTGTATTTTCTTTTGTGTACAATAAGAATAAATAAAAAAATAATAATATATATATATATAAATAAATAAATAAATAAAAAATTTGATTTGCGTTACACTGCGGGTTCACAAATCTTAATATGAATTTACGAAAACAGACGTTAATTTTTTGTTCAGTAAATTAATACTGTGTACCGTTTACGTCATGTTAGATTTGTTTAGTCAAATGTAACGGTCTCTATACGGTCTGCGAAATACTAATTCCTTGGATGGGTCGGCAACTATACTTGGAACAACATCAGAAGTTTTCATTGAAAATTTTACTCAAATAATATTCTCAGAGTAGCACGATTTTATTGTGCGCAGTATGAAGAAGTGCCTCAATTTATATATATATATATATATATATATCTATAGATATCAGGTAGTTATACAGATAAAGGACTAAAATGACGTCTGCTGTTATGAAGAAATTTTTTTTATAGAAAAGTTAAAAAAGTTAGATAGATTCAAATTAAATATAATGTACATATTTCATTAAGTTTGTTTAAATTACTTAATTAATTGGTTTTGGTAAAACCAATGCACGACAGAACAATCAGATATTTTATTATCAAAAAGATTTTTTTTCCGATATAATATATTATGGTTGAAGAACAAAAGGAACGGGTCTGATTATATTGGTCGGGCTGTCACTGAGCGCCCACTCCCGGCCGCTATCCCACTACTGCCCGATGCGGGGACTTTTGGCTGCTGAGTTTCCCCCCTGGCCCGGTTCGCCCCTCCTTAGTTAACCTGCACTCCCCAGATTCCTCCGGGGAGTCCATATTAACACCAGGCTTAGTGCGGACGTCCAGTCAACATGGGCCACTCAGCGCCAGTGAGTCCCGACCTCAAACCATCCTCCGTACCCAACTTCCGGGTAGCCGGATTACAGGAGGTGCCAAACTCCCAGTTATGACACTCAATGAAAATGTTCTATAGTTAAAGCGTGAAGTACTGGTTTCAAATCAACACTGATTTACAATGATATCTTTTGGATTTTTTTTTATAAACCGAAATATTACTTTGGTTGTTTAAAATTAAATGTTACTTAAATAAAAGTTAAAATCATATAAAAATACATATTTTTTTTACAATTTGAATTTAAACCACAACGCCATCTCTTGAGAATACAAATACATTAGGGTACATTCACAATGGGACAAACGTGGAACAAACCAAGTTTATTTAAACCACAGCGCCATCTCTTGAGGATACAAATACATTAGTTCACACCCACAATGCGACAAACGTGGAACAGACCAAGTTTATAACCAGCAGGAATGAAATATAATATTATAACTTGATTTTACTTTTATGAACTAGAAAAGGTTAGTCCATTTTTAACACGACGAACGAATGACAGACATAGTGTAATAAACTCCATATTATTATGTAATTACTCTTTGATATAGAGTACTCAGGAGTCCGCACTGTCATGTTCCACCACCTCACCTATGTCTGCCGTGAAGCAGTCACGTGTTCCAGTTTAGAAACTGGACCGGTCTTTATACAGCACGATTGAGTTCGACATCACGTCTCAAGGATAGTAGCGGTTTTCATGTAGTGATATCTATGGGCTCCAGTTGTCACTAAATATCAGGTGGTTCGTGATCTCTTTTAGTCACCTTCTTCAATAAGACTTTAGAGACTCAAAACGTTAAACTTACCAAATTAAGGAAGAGTGTGCTTAGTGAGAGTTTTTTAACGTTCTCGATAGCGTAAAAGTTAACTGAAATTCGCAAAGTTCGTCGTAACGTTGCCTACGTTTGCCGCTAGGGGCGCTGTTCCAACTGCATACAAATTCGAGTTAACTTTTACGCTATCGAGAACGTTAAAACACTCTCAGTAAACAGGCTGATATGTATTAAACCACGTTAAATTGTACATACCCTCAAGAGATCCCCGACGCATTGTAAGGTCCAGTACACGACGTACAGGTCGACCAGTTGCGAGAGCACCTCGCGTAGTTCCGGCGAAGCGTTCTTACATTGCATCTCGGTTTGTTCGTGGTAAGTCAACAGTAATATGGCGCGACAATGAGCCTGTAAACATAACAACATTGTTCTTAACGTGTCATTTTAATGATTACTTTAGAACTTAAATTAACACTCGCGGTAAAGTATGTATGCCTAATATCTTTAACACAACTATAAATGTATGATATTTTATACGAGAATAGTGTCGAAAATCAGTGAATATTTTCTTAATCGGTCACTTTACTGGTGGTAGGACGTCTTGTGAGTCCGCGTGACGGGTAGGTCCCACCACTCCGCCTATTTCCGTCCCTATATTATGTCCCTTTCAAATGTTAAAGTGTACATTACTGGTATTACAAACGGTGGTACCGCGGTTTCAATATTTAGTGGGTTCCACCACCACCTACGCTCTACTAATTATCTCTCCCACCCATCTGGCGGTGGAGATGCTTTCTCAATACATTACCCAGTTTAAACAAAAATTAAATGTTAATAATTTCACACACCTCAGAGGCCTGCGTGAGTTGAACCGACGTCATGTTCCAAGCGTCCTCGTACGACAAGCCTTCCTTTTGACGTTTTTCTATGTTCGCCACGCAAAGGCCTATTTTACTGAAAACACAAAATACGGAGCCTATATTATTATATATAAAGCTTGGGAACCTGTGGTATTTACGTAGGTATACGCTCAACATAAATGCGCTCTGAAGGACAAAGGGGAGTGTTTCCACCGAGCGAGTGTCATTTGACGGATCTAGTTTTGTTGTTCACAACTAGCATATAAGCAAAGGACAATGCCTATTTTCTTTGGGCGCTTGGGCCCCTAAAAACGTTGTCGTGTCATGATGGTTTTAACTTAATTTTATAGACAAAGAAATATCGTTTCATATTCAGAAAACGATTTTTATATTCTCACACAGGTTTAAGAGAATCTGATTTTTTCTGCAGCTAAAATTAAGGTTGTTTTCTTCGTTGTTAATTGTTTTCTTCGAAATCAATAATCGCTCTCATAATTAGTTACAGTGTTAAATAAGTTAATTGTGGTTAATGTTGCTGGAAATAAGTCCTTATTTACATTTTATTATATCCTCATTAATAATAAAATAAAGGTGGTTTCTGAGAATGAACTTCATTGACCCTTCTTTCGGAAATGAAAATCCGGAAGCCGGCAACGATATTGTTGTTGTTTTTAAATTCGCCAATAAGCGGGCAAAGAGCATAGCCTATACAGCCTAGTCTGTCGTATTTGTATTATTTTCATGTCAACGATAAGCCGGTGATCTGTTACTGCTTTTTGGGAGTTATTTTATTATTATTTATATTAATATATTATATTAATTTAATACGATCGTCACATAGGATCGCTGGCCACAAACTCGCGTCAATGCTCTATGCAGAACAAAGCAGTTTCGACTTGAAAAGTAGCTTCGAAAAGTACAAACTGTGAGTGCACTGCGATTGTGATATAGTTTTGACCTGGCTTTGGATTTCGGATATTGATACTGCAGTACTCTTGACCTTTGCTCGTTAATTTGGACTCTGTTTATGCCTTTTGTTGTGGATTTCGTCGACACGGCTGAACGTATGCAGAGAACTGTTCTATACTTGAGTTCGTTATACGCCTTATAAAGTATGTATTATCATTTTCATTCCAATATTCAGATTGTTCAAATATATTAAGTAAGCATTTATATTTTTGAAGTGAAACTTCGTTAGAATCGTTGTGATTTCAAACTCGATGAAACGAAAAAATAAGTCCATAGAGATACAAACACATAAATGTATAGGATTGCCGGCGAGAGAATGAGATAGAATACATTAGACGTTCTCATTGTAGTGTTTTTTAATACATCGTCATCTATGAGATTTTTAATACTAACGTGTGTATGAAAGCTCTTGTAGTGAATTTTAATTTAGGATTATACGAGAAGTTAAAATATCAATTCACAGAGGGCGCTACCTCATACTATAAAAGATGATTTACAATTATTTACTAATGACAAAATTTTACATATACTTACGCATTTAGGATAATTGTATTTTAATTTTTGAAGGTTTCACTTCTATCACGTTTGAATTGCACACATCCTTTTTGCTTTATTAAACCTTTTTAATCGGGTACTACTTGCAATTAAATCTTATAGATTTGATTTATTTTTTTATCGAGAATAATTTGACTTTTCACATCACTATTATAATATGTCAGAGCGGCCATCATAGCGTGGCCGACAGAATAGTTACCCCGCGGCGACCGTGTGGAAGGCGTCGATGAGTCCGGTGAGCGACGAGTCGAAGGGCGGCGCGCGGCGGCCCGACGTCACGCGGCGGATGTACGCCACGGTCGGCGTGAGCTGCGACGCGCCCGCCGCCTGCTGCCACGCCTTCACCAGGTACCTGAGCGGGAAACACGTCTTAAACTGATAACGTATTTACTGTAGGCAACGTATTTGCGTTTCGGTTTGAAGGGTGGGGCAGCCGTTGTAACTATACTTGAGACCTTAGAACTTATATCTTAAGGTGGGTGGCGCATTTACCCCAACCTATTACTATTTATGTTTAGGTATAATGTTGCGGAAGAATTTCGATACCCGCGGTGCTGCGCGCACGTATGCTGAGACATCGGGATGGTTTTAGCCGGTAGGAGTCCAGCACGCCCCTTCGCCTTTCCCCAGGTGGAGGGAATCCATGAGGAATTCCCCACGAAAAAAAAAAAAGGTATAGTTATAATATATTGGTGACCTGGCGGTCTGCAGCAGTAGCACGGTGTTCTCGCCCTCGTACGTGCAAGCGGCCGTGACCAGCCCGTAGCTGGTGGGCAGGTTGGAGGACAGCATGTAGCCGTGGCCGCCGCACGCCAGCCGGCACCGCTCCACGCACTGCGCCGCGTCCGCCGTGCTCACCGCCTTCAGGCAGCACGACAACGCGTGCAGCTGGAACGTTCCAAGAGGCGCTTTAGCGTCAGCGCAGATAGAACGGAGCGCAGCGGAGAGGATTTTATTAACGCACTTGAAAATAAGCTTTCAAATTATAAAAATAAAGTGCATAAATGCTTGAACCCAACCAAAAATACTCGCGCGTGCTCGAAGATGCGCGGTGTTGAGTAGGCGCCCGCGTCGTACGCGTACTGTCGCGTACTTACTTTCAGTATTGTCAGTGAGTTTGAAGAGAGAGGATTTCATTTTTTTAGATTTTTAATCCGAAGTACTTACATAACGAACAGTATTACAGTCTTATTTTATTAAAATGTTCTTCCATTTCTTCTTTTTCAGCCAAAAGCACAATTATATTGCTGATATTACTTTTTATATATTGCTTATATTATGCAATTATATTGCTTAAATTAATCATATCCCAGTCCACCATCGTTGACGAACTTTCGCGACAAACTGGCATGTTTACTGTAGAGGGGTAACCCAGAACGTCTTACTCGCGCAGGCTCGCGAGGTCGCGCGCACTCTCGAGCATACGCGATCCATAAAGAAAATGACCGAGACCACGCGGGGATTATTCCTCTCTGTCTGCGCTGACCCTTAGTATAACGCCGCTGGACTCCGACTAGCAGTCAGCGAAACTTCAACTTGTGTGACTATTCATTCCATTATCACGTAACTTTCGTAAATATTTACACACCGGTGTGCTTAGTGCGAGTTTTTGAACGTTCTCGATAGCGTAAAATTTAACGTAAAGGACATGGGTCATTTTCGGCCCAGCTACTTGTGCTCTCAAGGAACATTAATGAAATATCTATAGAAAAAAAAAAACATTTCATTTTTACATATATATTATAAAATTTAAGGCTATTTTAGTATTGACAACAAAATCATATGATATAACCTAAAATTCTAATCTTATTTTTTATATATCTCTGTATCCCCATGAACAATATTGATTTTGATTTGTTTATAATAAAAGGGATATATAATCTGTTATTTAAACTTAATTTCATTACTGTCCTTGAACTTCATTTAGTGGGCCGTGCAATGTATGGAGAGTGGCCCATGTCCTTTGTATGCAATTGGAACAGCGCCCCTAGCGGCAAACGTTCTAACTCCGTACAAATCACGCAATCGTCTAGTTGGACCGGTTTAAGCGAAAGAGCCACAAGAATTTTTATAGAGTTTAAAAATTCATGTTACAAGTAGTATTATAATTCTCGTCTTCTGCATTTGCTCTAAATCTGTGATAATTTTGACAGTAATTTGAACATCTATATATGAATTTTTTTTACGAAAATTGCGCGGACGGGTAGTGTGAAATTTTCCTCACTTATAGAGAATATCGAGAAGGAGTGCAGAATGTTAATATTTTTTAAAATTATGCATAAAAAATACATTAAATCAATAAAACATTACACACACTACCATGTATTTGACACAGGCACGCACGGCATACTATTTGTTTATTGTCAAACTTTTCTTATTGCTTACAGTCTGTGGTCAAATTGAGTATAGATTAAAAATTGTTTGTCCTATTAATATTTGTTTAAAATGTAGTCTTGGTGAAATCTGTGATTATAGAAGTATAATAGTGTACAAGTTTATAATTTCAATTAATTATGGTCGAATTTCGACTACCGGGGCACCATTCCATTAACGGTGCTTTTAGGCACCACAAGCACCGGTCACCGTTCACGTCGAACCCGTCGCTTGCGACGAAGGGCTCCACGAGTGAATTGACTCATAGACACAGGCCACTGAGTCTCTCGCCGGATCTTCTCAATGGGTCGCGTTTCCGATCCGGTGACAGATTCTGCGAACCACTGCTCTTGCTAGGGTTGCTAGGGTAGTAGTAGGGTAGCTCTAGCTTAAGTAGGAAGAAAAAAAAAGGGGCGCCACTAGTTTATTTAACACTTTGCCAGAGTGGTTACCTCTGGCAGCCTCTCCATATCTCCCGACTCGAGTTCAGCGGTGACGTTGTTGTACATGTTCCACAGCCAGTTGGCGCTGAGCTTGAAGGCGTGCACCGAAGCTATACCGACGAATAATTTGTGTTGTTGCGTTACGTAATCCAATATTTGTGGTTCAGGTTCGCTGTAATAACATTCATAATTGAAGACACGAGTGGATGAAAGATATGAATACAATTTGCTATTAAGAAAACAACGGGCAACAAACTTTTGTTACTTGTACTATTTCTTCATACAGAACTCCTTAATTTATTTATTTTTGCTTAGATTGGTCGACTATCTCACAATCCACCTGGTGTTAAGTGGTTACTAGAGCCCATAGACATTTACAACGTAAATGCGTCACCCACCTTGAGATATAAGTTCTAAGAACTCAGTATAGTTACAACGGCTGCCCTACCCTTCAGGCGATGTAACTATACTGCGTTGTAACTATACTATACTATATTGCGTTTCGCTCTAAGAGCAATAGGACTGCTTCACGGCAGAAATAGGCAGGGTGGTGGTACCTACTCGTGTGAACTCACAAGAGGTGGTAAGAACTCACAAGAGGTCTTACCACCAGTAATTACGCAAATTAGAATTTTGCGGTTTTGATTTTTATTACACATGCTATTCTTTCACCGTGGAAGTCAATCGTGAACAATTGCCAAGTACGTATCTTATCAGAAAAATTGGTACTCGCCTGCGGGATTCGAACACCGTTGCATCGCTAGATACGAATGCACCGGACGTCTTATCCTTTAGGCCACGACGACTTGACTGACGACGTTTACCCCCAGACATAGGGGCGTAGTGCCAAGCTTCGCGGCAGCCGCAATGTAGTAAGTGGGTTAGTGAAAACTTCAGAGATTGGTAAATTTTTGCACGGTACAAAACACTCACTCGGGTTTTGGTTGCGACTGATGTCTGACCGCCGAATACCTGGTCGCGGTCGTGACAGCTTTAGCCATATAATTGCACATGTCGTTCACGAGAACAACGCGCACGAACATCATCGTTCCGTACGTCAGCTTCGAGCTAGGCGAATTAACGTACGTACCGTCCTGAAAATAAGTTTCAAATTATATTAAACCGAACACAGATCACTTACTACTTTCTTTCAATCGAGACGTCCAATCGTGTTTTGTTCTCGATTTCCTGATTTCGATATAAACATAAGTTACCTAGTCAGGTCATAAGTAATGTCACACAATAAAAACTTTTCTTTTAGAATGCTGGCCACAAAAAAGTTTATTGAATTCGAATTTCGAATTTTTCATGAAAATAAAAATGTATGCTTTTAGAATTTTACTCATTTTTAAATATGGAGTGGACGCTTAAAGAAGACCGTGTTGCAGTTATTGCGTTGCATCGTTGCGGTTACGCGCCAATTCAAATTTTTAACATACTGAAAAATTTCAATATAACCAAAAGATTTGTTTATCGTACCATCAAACGATACAATGAAGACTCTAGTGTAGATGACAGGTCAAGAAGTGGTCGCCCTCGGTCTGTTAGGACTCCAGCAGTGATAAAAGCTGTGAAGGCGCGAATTCAAAGAAATCCCAAACGTAAGCAGAAACTGTTGGCCCTTCAGATGGGGTTAAGCAGAACCACGGTGAAAAGGGTGTTAAATGAAGACTTAGGGCTTCGGGCATATCGAAGAAAAACAGGACATCGTTTGAATGCTCGTCTAATGGACCTGAGACTGAAGAGATGCCGCGCTTTGTTGAAGCGGTACGCGGGAAAAAAATATCGGGAAATTCTTTTTTCGGATGAAAAAATTTTTACCGTAGAAGAGAGCTACAACAAACAAAATGATAAGGTGTACGCACACAGTAGTGAAGAAGCGAGCAACCGTATTCCGCGTGTCCAACGAGGTCATTTTCCATCCTCGCTCATGGTATGGTTGGGAGTTTCTTATTGGGGCTTAACAGAGGTACATTTTTGTGAGAAAGGTGTAAAAACGAATGCAGTTGTGTATCAAAATACAGTCCTGACGAACCTTGTGGAACCTGTTTCTCATACCATGTTCAATAACAGGCACTGGGTATTCCAACAAGATTCGGCGCCAGCTCATAGAGCGAAGAGCACACAAGACTGGCTGGCGGCGCGTGAAATCGACTTCATCCGGCACGAAGACTGGCCCTCCTCCAGTCCAGATTTGAATCCGTTAGATTACAAGATATGGCAACACTTGGAGGAAAAGGCGTGCTCAAAGCCTCATCCCAATTCGGAGTCACTCAAGACATCCTTGATTAAGGCAGCCGCCGATATTGACATGGACCTTGTTCGTGCTGCGATAGACGACTGGCCACGCAGATTGAAGGCCTGTATTCAAAATCACGGAGGTCATTTTGAATAAACTTTAGTGTCATAAGAATCTATGTTTTGTTAAGTTCATTTTGGTATATGAATGGTTACATAATGAATAAGCTTGTTTCAATTATTTTACATTAAACATGTGACAGAATTTATGACCTGACTAGTTATAATGACAGTGTTTACCCAAATGTTTTTAAGGCTGCTAACATGTCAAATTAATTCTTTACGTCTGGAATTTATGCTTAATATATTTACAGTTAGGTAGTTAATATTAAAATTGCGGTATTGAAATGGAATATATCTTTTCGGCAGCATACCGGTATCCCTGTAGATGAGGAATATTGAGAGCCTACCTGGAATCTCTATCACGCCAATATCTGCCGCGAATACAAATGATCTACCCACGCTGATAGACTATTTCAGCTTCTCCTTGACGTATAGGTGAGCTTACGGGGCTCAAACCGGGAGTGTTGCTAACACTGGCCCTAGCAAGAACAGTGCTTCGCAGAATCTACCACCGGATCGGAAACGCGACCCACTGAGAAGATCCGGCGACAAACTCAGTGGGCTATACAAATGAGACTTCAACTCATGTTTAAAAGTCTATGGGCTGCCGCAATCGCCAACTTGTTCGCCAATGTGTGTATTAAAAAAAATAAAAACATACCTCTAAAACTTTAGCGTTCTTCATCAGCATATGCTCTCTAGGGATCCTCACGTGTTCTAAGCCCAAGAATCCATTATTCGTTCCGTTCATACCAAGTTTCGCACCGATTTCGCCGACTTTTATACCTGTTTTGATTGAATTTCGATTTTAAATGGGCAGACCGTTACGGCCTTCCTGATTTTAGATCGAAGGCGCCACAACGTGCCTACAGCTTGATGTAGAAGTAATATCGGCAGCTCGAAGACCGACTCACAAAGTTGTATCTTCCGAAAAATGGCCGAATAAACAATTAGCATTTAAGACAGCGCACGTCTTAGAATACGTCTCTTACCAGTCTTACCTTATGGATATGTGGCATAGTTATGCCTTTATATAATTTTATTGCCTTTGTATGCATACAGCCAATCTGATAGTGAGTGGTTATCATTGCTCATGTACGTCAGCAATGCCAAGGGCACAGCCAAGTAGCTGCCTACCGCTATTTAAGCAATCGCATGGATTCGTCCTAAGCTTTATCAATGTATACTGTGATTTAAGTTTTGAGGCAGGCAAAGGCGTTTACGTTCTGGTCTCTACGAAATCCAGTAATCGATCGAGCAAAAATTTTTTGGGGACAGGAAATGGTTTGACATGTGGTATGGGATCGTCGCGTTGACTGCCGGCGCGTGAGTTTGCTCCCTTCCTCCCGCGGGCTACCTCGTCTTGCGGTCACGTAGTGATGGGCGCATTGAATAGTGGTGCGCCACAGTGGTATATCCAAGCTTAGTTGAGTCACACTTTTTGATGATGATTAAATCTATTATCAAGATTGGGTAGGTACTTAAAGTTATCATGTTAAAGAAATTCGCTAAAACTTTTCGACTTCAGACAAAACTTAGATTAGAAAATCAATTACAAGAAAGACGTAAAGTGGTAAAGTTGGCTACGTACCTGGCAAAGGCATATGAGTCTCTTCGTCGCGTAACTGAACGATGAAGGCGTGGATGCCGTGGCATTTCCCGGCGGTGTACAGCTGAGCCATCACGATACAATAGTTGGCCGTGTGAGCCACTAGAACAATTTTTATTTATTGCTTAGATGGGTGGACGAGCTCACAGCCCACCTGGTGTTAAGTGGTTACTGGAGCTAAATGCGCCACCCACCTTGAGATATAAGTTCTAAGATCTCAGTATAGTTACAACGGCTGCCCTACCCTTTAAACCGAAACGCATTACTGCTTCACGGCAGAAATAGGCAGGGCGGTGGTACCTACCAGCGCGAACTCACAAGAGGTCCTACCATCAGTAATTACGCAAATTATTTTGCGGGTTTGATTTTTATTACACGATGTTATTCGTTCACCGTGGAAGTCAATTGTGAACATTTGTGAAGTAAGTATTTCATTAAAAAAATTGGTACCCGCCTGAGAATCGAACACCCCGTGTATCGCTAGATTAGATACGAATGCAACAGACGTCTGTACAATGGACGGCGAAGTGAAATCTGTAAACTGGAATTTGTTTTTAAATTTTTACAGATTTAATAACAGAGTAATAAAAGAAAAAAGAAGCGACAATTATTTCAAACCTAATTGCTACAGTGTGGTTTGTGCAGACCATTTTACTGAATCTGACATGTATTTAATAAATAAAACAATTTGATGGGGATTATGTTGTTGTGATTTAAAAAGCTCGATGTGTAAGGTACAATATAGCTAACTCAGGTATAATTATCTATAGTTATACAATATTTGTTGTTAATTATAAGGAATTAAATTGAAAAAATTGAATGAATATGAATTAAAAAAACATAAAAAATAAATTACTCAAAATATTCTTACAAAAAAGTATAAAGTGCGACTCCGTAATACTCTGTTCGGAGCAGTAGTCTTAATATCGTAAGTTTAAAAGGGCGTAAGTAAAATGCTATGCGTGTAAATTTTTGCTTTATTTTTAATGAGATAAGGTTAAATTTGGAATAAAAGTTATTGTAAAAATCTTTTTCTGTCATTCATAGCGTAAGATCGTAAGTGAATGTTAAAATAATCTAAACTGCACTTTATTACTTGGGGAAAAGGCATAGTTTAGGTTACAATTATTATATTATACATCGTTTTTCTCCACTTGATGGTGTAGTCAGATCAGTTAGTCGATGCCATATTTGTGTTTGTTTTTTGTATGTGATGCGTTATCTAGTGGTAATATATCGATGAGTTCATTGTACAAAAACACAAGTGTAAAAATTACTCGTACGTCACCTCTTGTATATTGATGATACTATATCATAAAACTCTGAAGTAATGACAACTGCTTAAGGTTCAAACTCGAACAAACACAAGAAGATTTTATGACATTTGGAGCTGTAGATGTTCAGAAGTCGCAAGATGGAGGTATTTAACGGTCCTACGATGAAAAACCACTTGCCCATCTTTACCATTACGAAAGGTGCTTAATATTTCGAAGGTGCTAATATTTCGAAGAAATAGTAAAAACCCTGTTATGATATTTGTTTTATCATCGGTATGAAGTAGAATAGCGAAGAAATTTGAGTTAACTTTTACGCTATCGAGAACGTTAAATGAGTCGTCTATTATCAAAGGTGGCAATCTGTGCATTTGGACAAAAAAAAATTATTGATATGTCAATACAGATTGATTTGAATATAATCGCCTTCAAAGAATACGGTTCAAAGCCTGCACTAAATAAAGGTTAATAGTTAACCTGTTATTTATCTAAGATGTCGTTCCGAAGAGTTTTGTGACTGCCAATGGAATACAAAGTCAACAATTCGTTTTTCTGATTTACCAATCATTGTCCAAAAGTCAGATTGCCGGATTTGATAATAGTCAACTCAAATAACTCGCACTAAGCTCACTGGTTCATTTTCTACACAATAGAACGTTATAAGTGAGCTATGAATCTGCTCTGCTAACAAATTAGACATTTTAACCACAATTTCAGTTTCCGGAATATGCGACAAGTCAACATTTATTTTACTTCGTTTAAATGACTATACAAATAATTAAACAATAAAACCTGTTGTTTGACTATGTAAATGTATAAAATCCATTAAAAAATAATTAATACAACATAAAGTGATTAGAAACGAACTCTATCGAATAATGTTGAAGGAACATTCTTAGTGGCCAAATAACTTATTTAATGTTTTTTGTAAGTTTTTTTTTAATGCGTGACTAGACGATTTCGTCTTGGCTGAGAAACAATTGTACTTAACTCAACAACATCAGGTGATGTGAAAAAACTAAACATAATAACATAAAAAACATGAACGTGAGATTTTTTTTTTCAATTAAAAACATAAATCAGTTACATTTATACTTGAACAAATGAGGAAAATACAAATAAGATATATACTTACATCCTCCTGGCCACCATTTATATGCAGTTAAAGATGGACTGTGTAGTACAAACTCTTTAGTCTTGGGGTCGTATGTTGCTGTTGTCTCAAGACCACGGACGAAAGTACCGTGACCCAGCTCGGTCTAAATAAATAAAACCTAAGTCGTTTTAATCGTGTCGAAAATTGGAACTTATGAACCATTGATAGGTATTTGCCTAGACTTTGTTAATGACGTCAGTCGTCACTAATTCTAATTACAATATTTAGTTTATCAATTAATAAACTTACAACTATAATTTATTTATTTTATATATTTTGCATACTAGCATTAGATAGACTAGACTACATATCATTAGATATAATAATACACACACAAACACACATGCGCACGCACGCCTCACACACACACCCACTTTATACTATAATACATCTTATAATCTAATTATCTATAGTCTATAATCTAATTTTAATATTGCAATTTACTAACCTGTGCATAAGTTCCAATGATGTCTACATTGAATGCTCTTCCTATCCAATATGCTTGTTGTTCTACTGTTCCTTGCCCCATCAATGTTGGTATAAACATCACATAGTGCAGGGTGAGAGGAGAGCCATCTTCTAGGATTGCTGATCCAAGAGCACCACCGAGCACAGCCCTGTTAAAAATTATATATTACGAAACTTTCTGTAGAATACTTGAGAAGGGCACGGATTCCCTTTATAAGAGTTCGTTGATCACATAATTAAGATGTGTTAAATGGTAATATTTACCACTCATAACACAGTCAATGCCATTGGTGATGTTAATAGCTTAAAATGCCTAAAAACACTAATTAGTGTTTTGAGACAGCATCTTAGAGTTATACTATTAGAATTTAACAAAAAATGTTCCATTTATATAAATACATTTAACATTCTACTTGATAGTTCAATTTGAGATAAATCAATTTTTGCTAATATAGAATGTAAGGAAAATGCTAATTATGTGTTTAAATTAATAAAAACCTGTAATTTTCCATTCCTGTGTTCTCCTCCTCTTGCCATTTTCTGAGTAATTTAAACATTAATGATGCCTTTTTGATAGCCAGTTCATATTTCTCTTTGTGGCTTAAGTATTCTGATGGAACTTGATCGATATGGATTCCTTCTTTCAGTACTTTCTCTTCTATTAAATAGAAAATATATTGAGAGTTGTAACTAAGCTTTAACATTAAAGTAATGATTTTCTATGCTTGTGTAATGCAAATACAACAGCTGATTTTTATTGTCAATGAAAAGTTAATAAACTACACAACATATACTTCTTTTCTTTCATAGCAGTTGAATACTAGTTTCCTATGAAATGGGAATGGGATGGGCCATCCCATAGACAACACATAATGAATTCTGCTTGTCCTCTATGAGGCATGAAGTTAGTCTCAATTTCATAGTGTAACGTTTTTCCATTCTTCAAACCAAAACCATGATTAGGGTTTTTCTCAAATACCTATATCATTAGTACCATCAACTTACTGATAAAGAATTAGTTACATAGCATAATATACTAATCGCCTTATGTTGCAGTCATTATAATAACTAAAAAAAGGAAAAATCACACACAATCATTTGGCCCTAAACTATGATTCTCAATTCAATGGGAACTAGATACAGATAGCTATACTTATGTATGTTGAAATAAACACTCAAATAGGTATTAAGAATTTAAACAAACAACATCAAGTATCAACACAAGAATTTGAGCAAACAACATCGAATATCTAATTGAACCCATGACCATCAGAACTGCCGTTGTAACTGCTGTCAGGGGCACTAGATACTGTGTGCCACAGAGTAAACTATTTTAGTTCTTTTAAACACATAATAATAACTTCAATAAACATTTAAAATTAGGTTAAAGCCATAAAGAAATCATCACATACATAATTATTATTTGTTTCATATTTCTTGTTATGACAAAACAAGATAATGAGTTGTGACCTTTGATCCTTTGTCTGTTTTTGTGTTGAGATTCCCATTTCACAGTAAAAAAATGTGTTTATATTATACTATTTTCTAAATAATGTATGAATCATGTTGTGATTTAATTAATCAATTTTGAAGTAATTAAAGGATGGGACAATCTGGGTCATTCAATGTTACATGTTCATATTTTATTAATCACTTTTAAAAAAGTTCTGAAGCTTATTCTTTTGGTACTTTTGACAACGGCACATAATATTAAAAACTTGAAAAGAATGTGCCTACACTACATACCTCTTTTTTTTCTTTCCTCGGTCAAATGAGCTCCGCCGTCTATTAAATTCGTTAATTCCGTGATATTGAACGTGCATTTACTCCTCTCCTTTATTAAGTCAGCATTTATTTTCGTTTTAGTCATGATTATCACAAATTATTCTTCCGACACGTATTAAGAGTTACAGTTACTTTCTCAATTGTGAGCGCGAGCTCTGCGGTGAATGGAGCGGAGCGTCGACCCACTAACTTAATGTTATGATAAGGTAGTGCTGTTGGTTGCGAAATGTCAGCCGTATACTGCTGTAACCTGTTGGTAATGGTAACTGCTAAGTGATTTTTAATTACATTAGCAAGTCTTTAAGTTTATCACGGACTTCTAGGACAGTCAACTACTGTTTATGTCAAAGGGTAGGCAATTATAGAGAAAAATACGTAGGTTCATTGAATTTTTTATGTTTCATTCGTTGATTTTTTATTTAAACTGAAAGCGCAGAGTTGTTAAAAACAATAACAAAGTTCTATTTCCTTCATTTTCCTATGTTTATTTTTTCTAAAACTTCAACGCAATGTCAACTGTCAAGCTGGTACGCCAGAGTTTTTCGTTTTCTCCAATCTTCTTTCTTTTCTTTTTTTTCTCCAATCAAGCAATTAACAAAATGTAAAACAAAATCTTTTGTTTAGATTAAGACTGGAGTCATGTCTATTGTCCGCTCCGGTCATGACTAATGTAAGAGTAGTATTCGCTCACGCAGCCCGTACCTATATTTTTTTTTATTGCTTAGATAGGTGGACGAGCCCACCTGACGTTAAGTGGTTACTGGAGCCCATAGACATCTACAACGTAAATGCGCCACCCAACTTTAGATATAAGTTCTAAGGTCTCAGTACAGTTACAACGGCTGCCCCACCCTTCAAACCGAAACGCATCACTGCTTTACGGCAGAAATAGGTAGGGTGGTGGTATCAAGCCGCGCGCCTACCACCAGTAATTACGCAAATTATAATTTTGCGGGTTTGATTTTTATTATATTTTATTATAAGCCCCTAACAAGTCATTCAATCCCGTTTTAGCAGAATAGCTGTCGGAGCACCCCGGAAGTTTAGATCTTCATGAGCTTCTTGAATTAGAATCTATATCTAAGACAGTGTTGGAAGGTTTTTTTGAAAAATCTGCGCAACACCTTAACATTCTTAGCCATTCCAGACAACTTAACGATAAATGGTCGCGCGGCCACGTCACCCTAAACATGTCATTTCGGATCTTTCCAAATCACTCTTGGTTTCTTTTCCAAGCACCGGTAAATGTTCTGGTCGAATGCGACGAAGGGTCCGACGTGTATCTTAATCCACCGACACAGCACACTGAGTTTCTCCCCGGATCTTCTGAATGAGTCACGAATAGTCACGATTTCGATCCGGTGGTAGATTCAGATAAGCACTGCTCTTGCTAGGGCAGGTGTTAGCAAAGTCTTTTAAGCTGAGCCCGGTAAACTCGCCTACATGTTCGACGAAGTTAGTAAGCCCCTAGAGGCTACTAGCTGTAGGTAGAAAGAAAAGGTCTGCAGCTGCTGACATTTACGTGTCTATGTCAGTTTATGCAACATGTCTTTCTATTTGTAACATACTGGTTTTTAACATAATGGGAACATATATAATAAGTAGTTTCTTATTGCCATGATGAGTGAACGTCCCCCATAGAAATCATTGAGTTGAGAGGCTTTATTGAGAAGTCCCAATTTTATTGTTTAATGGCTATCCTGGTATTTAAACGCATTACAGCTTAGTAGTAGACAGATACAGGATACTGGTACCTGCCCAAGTGGGTATATGTATTCTATAGCACCAGTAATTACGCAAAACTATAAATTTCGTGCGTTTATTTTATATTATTCGATGTTATTTCTCCACCGTGAAAGGGGTTTGCTCCGAAGCTCCAAAGTGCATCTGTTCCTTGAAAGAAATGATACTCGCCCACAAGATGCGAACACTAGCCCAGTCGCACCACTGATTACTTTAAGTTATGTGTTAAAACCCTAGAACCTTTTATGTCGTCGTGACCTAAAGGATAAGACGTCCGGTGCATTCGTGTTGAGCGATGCACTGGTGTTTGAATTTCAGGCGGGTACCAATTTTTCTAATGAAATACGTACTCAACAAATGTTCACGATTGGCTTCCACGGTGAAGGAATTACATCGTGTAGGTAATAAAAATCAAACCCGCAAAATAATAATTTGCGTAATTATTGGTGGTAGGACCTCTTGTGAGTCCGCACGGGTAGGTACCACCACCTTGGCTATTTCTGCCGTGAAGCAGTAATGCGTTTTGGTTTGAAGAGTGGGGCAGCCGTTGTAACTATACTTGAGACCTAAGAACTTATATCTCAAGGTGGGTGGCGCATTTACGTTATATATGTCTATGGGCTCCAGTAAGCACTTAACACCAGGTGGGCTGTGAGCTCATCTACCCATCTAAGCAAAAAAAATATATATATATAGACAATAAAATTAGAAATTAGCTGAGACAATGAAATTGTCGTTTGGATTTAAACACAATAGCATGTAAAAGTTAAAAGTTAATCATTTGTTCTTTGGAACCACGTACACGTGTAAATATTATCTTAAGGCAATTAAAATACGACACAGAATAATAATTATGATAAAATTGTAAATTGTAATTATAGTTATTTAAATATTTCTATTTGAAGTCACTAAAAAAATTTAGTCGATGTCGGCCATTGCGTAAAGAGTCGAACATAGACACGGTACATGCAAATTGAGGTCTCTTAATTTGGCGGCCATATTATTTCTTTCTTGTGTGCGTTGGATCTCACCGTGTCAGGATGAGGTTAGTTTCTGAAAAAAAAATGCGTTTTCGGGAAGATTTTAATACCGAAAACTTGTATATTTAGTGGTTTTACGAAAGATGTGATATAATATATTGTAAAGCTGTAGTTATAGTAGGATCTTTGCGCTTTCGTGACCATCAATCGCGTGTTACACCATGTGGTCAACCGGGATGTTTCTTTCTTTTCAGTTCCCTCAAGCTGCAGAAGAGGCTTGCAGCCTCTGTTATGCGATGTGGTAAAAAGAAGGTGTGGTTGGATCCAAATGAAATCAATGAGATCGCAAACACCAACTCCAGTAAGTACAATGGCTATCAATATGAGAATGACACACCAGGGCGATGCCTGACAGAAGTATTTTAACTTACATAAATTGTAAGTATGTAAATAAACAGAGTGCAAATTAAATATTTTTTTTGTCATGTTATATCCTGGTAGAAATTTTGGCAAATGACTTACTCGTATTTTCTTTAGATTGCCTCTGGTCATCAGTGCTTTGTCTTCTAAAAATTCCATTACCAGGCCCTTAAAACTCCTGCCGAGCTATTTTTTTGTAATACCTACACAAAAAAGTAGAATTTCTCACCAAATTTACACCAATGTAACTTAGTATGTTATGATGTTAGTGCCAAATTTTAAAGCCTAATATATAATACTTGTTCTAAAATTTGTCAAGTTGTGACCCAAGAATAAGTCGCCAGGTATAATAGTCTTATCAAGTGATTTGACCGTGCTGATTTTCAAATTTTCAGACAAGACTGATCATCATCATGATGAAGGAATTTCGCCTTGTAATACAAATCCAACCACCAACCATTTCAATTTTAGTAATTACAGGTTTTAAGGCTTTTCTTACCCTGCACTGGTAGCAACAGTCATCATGACTTTTTGTAGCCACAACACCAGACAAGCTTGATCATTATTTTACCCAATGGAAAAATTAAATTATGATTATTGAACATCTTTATGTGTTTTAGCACTTAATTTTAATGAAACAATGAAGATTCACACCTTGGATAATTAGATTAAACAGATATGTTGTATCATTATAGGACAGAACATCCGTAAGATGATCAAGGATGGTCTCGTCATCAAGAAACCTGTAGCAGTCCACTCCCGCGCCCGTGTCCGCAAAAACACAGAGGCACGTAGAAAGGGTCGTCACTGTGGCTTTGGTAAGAGAAGAGGTACTGCAAATGCGCGTATGCCACAGAAGGTATGTTATATAAAATTTTATTTTAAAATAAGAAGGGAAATTTTAGGGCCCCCACCCTGAATTTTCTATTTGTAATAATATATTTTTAATTACATATATAGGTAAACGAGCCTAACAATTATAATACTAAGCACAATTACTACTTTTAAATATCGGTAGGGTGTATTTTGATAAAAAAAAAAAAATAATAATTAAAGATACTTCTTTAGATTTTCTAGATTCTCTTAATCTGAAATGTATTACATTTACTGTAATGTTATGTTGTTACTAAAGCATATAATATTTGTAACAGATATTACAAATATTAAATATTTCTGTATAAAAAGAAAATTAAACATCATTCATTGTCATTTTATAATGAAGTAAGAAAGCCAATTGTAATTAATTTTATTTGAGGTGTAGCAAATCTAATATGCTTCTTCAACTGCAAACAAATTAGAAATATAGGTATAAAATAAGCCTAGTTAGATAATTTGATTTATTAGTATTTTATTTGAACAGGAACTATGGGTACAAAGACAAAGGGTTCTAAGAAAATTGCTCCTGAAGTACAGAACTGCCAAGAAGATTGACAGGCATCTATACCACTCACTCTATATGAAGGCGAAGGGTAATGTGTTCAAGAACAAGCGTGTGCTCATGGAGTACATCCACAGGAAGAAGGCTGAGAAGGCCAGGACGAAGATGCTTAGGTAATTAATGATGGTTTCAATATTAGCCTACGCTGTCAGATTTCCTAGTATAATGAAGAGCACAATAATTGCCGTAAACAAAATAGGCAACTGGCCACCAAAAAAGTATTTAAATCTGAACAATGGTATTTGTGATTTCAATAAGTCAAAGAACCGTTTCATAATAAGTTGTTTGAAAAATTTATTAGTACATTTTTAAAAATGTAAATAATTTACATAATGACTAGTGGTTAAGGACTATTGTACATCTTCACTGCATTGTTCTGTCATTTTCTTTGCTGCATTCATGTTTTTGTAATGCTGTGGTTACAGCAAGAAAATAATCTGCCATAAACATATTCTACGTATTAGAAAATTTTAAATGTTTATATCAATTCAGATGTCATTGAAA